TAAGTTCGGTCGTTGTTGTCAATTATTGTGCTGTAAGGCTTAAAGCTAATAAGTTTACGCCAGGCTCTCTATGACCTCGACTATGAAGATGACCAAATCGTTGTCATTCAAGTTTTATTGCTTATGAGTTATTGGTTTGAAACTCCCCATGACCAAAAAGATAGCTGGCACTGGACAGGTATCAGTCTAGCCTTATCGAGGCTCAACGGGTTACATCTTGATATAACTACGTCAGGAATGGACACCAAGACAAGGCGTGTTTGGAGACGTATCTGGTGGACCTTATACAGTCGAGACAAGACGATTGCGCTTGGGACGAGGCGTCCTACCAGAATCAGAGCGGATGAGCATGACGTGGAGATGGTCAGCACCGGTGATTTTGAATTTCGATCATTTCCGGCCCATCTCCAGCAGATGATTGGCGGCAGCGAAATCCTAAGCAGCCCGGATTATCAAAGAAAACTAGTTCTTATGTTCATCGAAAAGATAAAGCTATGTTGCCATCTGCAGCAGGTACTCTCCGTACAGTATCGCATCCTCCGTCACAAGACAAGAGGCGGGAAAATGGTACTCGTTCCGAAGAGAGAGTCAGTGGATATCTCCCAAATAAAACACCATGATGAGGTTCTGGACGAATGGTTTGCCGACATACCTGAAGAAACAAGATACTCTCCACGATTTGGTTGCGAATTATCTGAAGGAGAGGAAGTACTCCACCTTCACCGTGGAATGCTCAAATTACTCTATCTAGCTACACGCAGTACATTGCATCTCCCACAGATCATACGAGGCCTCCCAAACACACTGCTGTCTTGCGAATTACAGCAAGGGTCTCTCGAAAAAGTTCGACAAACCGCAGCAGAAATTACTTCCATAGCTCAAGACCTTCACCATCTAAATCTAACCCGATACCTTCCATCAAATGGTACCACACCACTTCTTTCCGCCGTCGCAACCCACGTCATGGACTTAGCATCACCGAGCCCTGGGATAAAAGCAAACAGTTTGAACAGACTGCAGCAATGTCTGCAGACCCTCCTGCGTCTCCGGGAAATCTATCCGGCGGCGGACGCTCTCACCAACTCGTTGGAAAAGATCATGGGAGTCATGGGTATGCAACAGTTGTACACTTGCAAGCCATGGACACAAGGCGAAGTTTTGTCGTCAGACTATTATTACCGTGCCAGCGTTGAGAGGGACCGTTACGGCCCCATGTCCTCGCCAAAGCCGTGTCCGCCTAGCTTAATGATTTTGGATTCTATTGCGAAGCACCCATTAGTGAGAGAGGGGAGCAGCGTTTCAGAGTCAGAGAGTGGGAATGAAAACGAAAGTGTGAATAGGTATTTGAATGAGTATGAGGATGAAGCAATGAACACGAATGCTGATGGGGATGTCACATCCCCTCCCGGTCACAGCAATTCGGAAAATTTTAGTGAATTCTCCACGGAGCAAACGACCCCATTGCAGAATTCGACGGAATTGGAACTGGAGCCTGAATCCAAGGCCATATTGGACAATTTGGACATCGCAAACCTCGAGGAATTTGAAGGAGGATCGTTTGAGAGCATGCTGGAAGAATTTGCAGGGCATTATGGTATATTTGAGACAGGCTGTATGATGGAAGGGAATGGGGTTGATGCCACATCTTGGGATAATAGTGACGGGGGTATGGGCGATCAGAGCAAGGGGGATGATGAGAAAGATGAAATGAATGATCATATTCCTGTGGATGAGAAGATGAATGAGAAATTCAATGCTGCGGTGTAACATGAAATCTCTTTGGTTGGGATAGATACAGACATGCGTATATACGGTCTGAGACGTAGCTACCATTTCCAATATCACTATTTATGACACATTACTCCGTATATGAATTAATTTATTGTTTGCTTTTTTCAACTTGTTTTCACCTTTCGACGAAATAGAGTAAGACTAGCTGTACATATGTTTTTCTTGCAGCGCTTGGTTCGACCAAGAGGAGGACATAACTCCGCATCCATCGTTACGAAGTTAATCTAACATAAAACTCTAAATTAAATACTTATATAGATGATTATATGGATGGTTTGCTTCATTTAAATCCTTTAACTTTAAGAGATATATCTGATACTTAATTAGGACCAATTGCTTTAAGTTCCTTTACTGTAATAATACCTGCGTTGTCTTGAGTCTTGAATATTATTAAAACAATGCCTTATTATACTATCAAGAACTCCATTTTTTTTTTTAGCAGCAGCTTCCAATGAAGCATCTGCCATTCCAGAGGGAAGACATAGAAAAACTCTATCTAGACCAACTTCTCTATCCCACAAGAATAGGAAATGGAATATTCGTGCAGGAGATCTTCCACATCTCCTGACAGTTTTTTTGTTACCGTCTCGGGTACCAAGGTAATAGCGGATGGTTCAACTTGAACAAACAACCGTATAACATGCTAGGGATTGAAGAGGAGAGGGTGGCCAGCAGCCAAAATTGGATACATAGTACAGGGTTGGCTGGCACAAGGAATTAGTAAAATAATGAGTTTACTCAATAAGGGAACAAAAACGAAATGGCTATATATAAGATAGCAAGGGAATGTGACGGCGGGTGCGAATGCCAAGGAGGGATTTCAAAATTTAGTAGTAACAACAACTAATGAAATTATTCAATGAAGAGCACAGGACATTTCTAAGCAGCAGCCGCCACAGAATCGAGTTTCTTCGCCTTTACGCTCTTCCATTCAATACCAAACGCCCCAAGAAGGCCTATCGCCGACATCGCAACCGAGGCAGTCCACGTATCCGTCAGCGCATTATTATAAACAACACGCACGGCTTCGAGAAATTCCTGAGGAATGACTTTCTGCAGCGACGTAGCGCCTTCCCGCAAAACGGTGGATGGGCTCACAGTGGGTGCAGCGCGGGATATACCGTTAAAAAGTTTATTGGTAAAAATATTCTGGGCGATTGAGACGAAGATCGCGCCACCAAGTAGTTGGCAAAAGAGCACAACGACGATTCCAATGGCGACATCTTCCAGGCTCAGGACCACTTGCGGTACAAGAATGGGTAGTTGGAAAGCGAGACCAATCCCAGCGCCATAGATGACTTGATAGCCGATCCATTTCTGGTGGCCGGTTGTCGGAGTAAAGGTTGTGAGGAGGCCGGCACCGACAGAGGCGATGATCGCCGATAAGTAGAAGAACGGGGCATAGTATCCTATAGCAGATATGAAAGCACCACATATGATTGAAAAAACAACCATAGAGAGGACTATCGGGATAGTCATGACGCCGGACTTTGTTGCAGAGACGCCTTTGATCGCCTGGAACCAGATGGGAACATAGTAGACCAAGATGAAAAAGGAGGAGCCTACCGTAAAGGCGAAGAAGGTTGCAAAGGGCATGGTTCGTTGACGTAGGATGCGTGGTGGAATCGTTGCATTATCTTCGGCCCATACCTGGATGACGACAAATATCGCCATTAGAACGCCGAAGAGGACGAAGAGGGCAATTATACGGCCGCTGTTCCAGGGATATTTGGTACCTCCCCATTGGAGTGCGAGGAGGAGGCAGACGACACCGGGCATGAATGCTGTTGTTCCCCAGGGGTCCAGCTGCATTATCTGCTCTTTCCAGGATTCTGGTTTCTTCAAGGTCTGCTTGGGTGGAGCGAGAAATATAGCAACAGCTAAAACAGTAATGGCACCAATTGGGAGATTGATGTAGAAACACCATCGCCAAGAGACACGATCGGTGAAAGCACCACCCATCAATGGTCCAGCAACTGACGCAATACCATACATGGAACCTAGTAGGCCATTGTCTAAATCGACGGGTTAGAAAGATCATGATGGAAACAACAAAATACCAAGGCTGAACTATTCGAGAGAGAAACAGGAGAAGAGCATACACAGAGGCCGTTGTTCCAATCGGATGGAATAAGTGATGATAACTATAGCACCACTGAAAATTCCTGCCGATCCAAGTCCAGCAATGGCACGACCCACAATCAAGGCCTCAGAGTTTGGGGCAGCGCCGCAGATAGTTGATCCGATCTCGAAAATAATAATTGCAGCCAAGAAAACCAATTTAACCGGGTAGAAAGTGTAGAGTTTTCCGAAAATCAATTGAAAAGCGCACGTTGTTAGCAAGTAAGCACTTCCATACCACCCGACATCGTCGAGAGCTCTAAAATGGTCTGTGATCTTGGGAATAGCGGTAGCAATAATGGTGTTGTCCTGCACAGATTGTGGAAATGGAAATTTCAGGTAAATTAATATTTTGTGTTCCACTGCATATACTGTAGCTACATATAACAAGGAGTTTAAATAAAGAGTGTTCACGCTTACCAGTGCAACGAGAAGAGAAGAAAGGCACAAGCCAACAACGACAATAAAGAGCGGATAGCCTCGGAGGTAGACTATCCCATCATTTCCAGTTCCCTCTGGTTTGTCCGTTTTCTCCGCTTGCGAATCCGGAGTTTCGAGGGCTGTTTTCTCGGGTCGAACTGGTGATGTCTGTGAAGTAGACGTTGGATCCTGCAAAGGTTCCTCTCTATTCTCCGGCTCGATAGTTGAACCGGGTTTGCTTAGGGCTGAAATGGAAGTAGAAGCAGATGCATTATTGGCACCTGTGGTTGGTTTCGGGTCTCGTGAAGAGAGAGAATTCACAGGCTTCATGGTTATCTTTTTAAAAACGATATAGCCTTTTGTTGTGTGAGCAGGGAGGCTGATGCTAACAGGGAGGCCCTTCCACTATTGACGCTATATTATAAAACAATGGGGAGGCTCAAGGACTTCTAGAATAACCACGAAACATTCTCAGGGGGGGAAATAAAATAAAATATAAAACGAGTCAAGCTTAGCTCTCAGGTGCCTGAGTGGTGTAAATGGGAAGAAACTCAGAAAGCAGATAAAAAGATCAAACTCCCTGAGCCACAAAGGGGGAAATTGACGAAATATAACAATGGCATGTGGGGTCCCGATGAGATTATTTCGCGGGAAAAAGCAGAACGGAGCTAAGGAAAAGGATTTAAGAGATCAATATGAGCCAGTGATGCAAGGATATGATACAAAGGATATTTGGGATTGATTTCAAGATCAGGTGCACAACCCTCCGACTCCAATCTTAAGCCCAGCAAATCTCCAGCACAACCGTCAGATGTTGGTCCCGAAGATTCTCTGCGCTTATCAACAGTCACAGGCTTCAGCGAGGAGAAGAATCGGTATTTTACACATCCAAGGCAGGAAAATAAAACATCAACTTGTCCTCGGGTCCGCCGGAGCCAGGAGGAATCCTGGGGTGCGAGATAGATGTCGGTCGCTTGCGGGAGTTGAATTTCCTCGCATCCAGTTGGTTCTCCAACCTCCGATGCCGCCATGCTGGTTTTCGTGTTTTGGCTGTGACAAACAGCAAGAAAGAAAGAGAAAAAAAAAAAAAAAAAAAAAAAAAAAGCAAATCCACAAGTGAGAAACACGCTTCAAACCATCCTGGACACAAACCTGGGAACCATTCCCAGTAGGTAGATGGATTCATACCTTAAACCCCGATGCCGACTGAGGCTGAACTTTTCTCGTCCACAGCGAGGGGTGCAGTGGATCTGCTTGGAACCATGCCCTTTGGCAAAAGGGAGGCCTGCAGTCTGTAGCCCAAAATCCGCTGTTATCTGTTATCAAGCTCACTCTTACATTGCATGATGGTCCTCGACCCTGCGAAGGGTGGAGTAAGTGATTAACACAGCCAAACAGGGAGAAGCTGACAGCAGGTGTTGATATAGTTACAACAAAAGCCATGCAATTTCATTGTTTTTGTCTAGTCAGTAATTAACACAGCAAAGAGGGTCAAGGAACGGCACTCCAGTGCCGTCCGCTGCATGCAGATGCTGACAGCTGGTGTTGATATACAACAAAAGCCATGCAATTTCATTGTTTTGTCTCCACCGGGAAACAGATTAACATGACCGACCACTAAACGAGCCGAGATTTTCACCAAAACTAGCTTCAACCCCCCCATTTCGCAACGCTTCACAATGGCCAAGGAGGATTCAATTCAGTTTGCAATTGCAGATTTGAAGTTGCAAAAGGTCAAAAATATGTTGCAACTGCTAGGAAATTCAGAATCAACAAGGAAACACTGCGCCAGTGGTATATTGGAACCCAACTATTGCAAAATGAAGCTGCCTCACACCATAAGAAGAAGATCTCAAATCCGCAGGAAGAGCAGCTGCTTCTTCATATAGAGAAGCTGGCAGCTCACAGATTTGCTCCTACACCCCAAATCATTCAGAATCTCATTTCAGAGATTACAAAAGAGCCAGTTGGAGTCAACTGGGTGAAGCACTTCACAAAACAGCATTCAAAACAGATCAAATCTCTATATATCCACAATATAGATTATAAGCACAAGGTTGCAGATAATTCTTCCCACTTTGAACACTATTTTAAGCTGGTATTTTGACTGTTTTATTGTGTTGTGTTGGCTATAGATCTTTGCTAACAAATTGACTGCTCATCTATATAGTTGACTGAGAAGATTGAAAAACATGATATTGAGCCTGGAAACATCTACAATTTTGATGAAAAAGACTTTCTAATTGGAATTGGTCAAGCTACTAAGTGTATTGCATCACTTCATTTGCTCAAGCCGAAGCAAATGACAGCAGTTCAAGATGATAGCTGTGAATTCATCTCTCTACTAGCTGCAATTTGTGCTGATGGAACAGCACTCCCACCCACTCTCATATATAAGAGTGATTCTCACAATATGCTGAATACTTGGATGGAGGATCTTGACAAGAAGAATATGACTTATTTCACAGTCAGCAGCAACAGCTGGAGCAATGGTGAATATGAGCTCATCAGGCTGGAACAGATATTCAACCTCTTTACAAAGCAGAAAGCTGACTGGGAAAGACATCTTCTTATTCTAGATGAGCATTCATCTCATGTAAACATGAGATTCATTGAATTTGCAGATAAAAATCAAATTCTACTGGCGGTCCTATCATCTCATTCAACTCATCAGCTGCAATCATTGAATATAGGATTATTTGGCCCCCTAGCCAGCACCTACATACAGGAGTCAAATAAAATACTCTTCAGCTCCTATGGCTTTGTTCACCTTATTAAACAAAGCTTTTATGTGATTTTCAAATCTGTGTGAAGCCAGTCCTTTATTTCTAAGAATATTGAATCTGCCTTTGCTGCTGCTGGTGTATATTCTTTGAATTCTAAGTCTATTCTTCAGCAAATTCAAAAATCAGCAAGATCTTCAGATGAAAAAGAGTCTTCTACACCACTGTCTACCTGAGCTTTGCAGTCTAATCTTCAAAGAATTCAAATTCAGTAAAGTCAACTGACTGATAAGCTTGAGAAGGTTTTTCATGCTAGTGAGAAGCTAGTCTTTCAAAATGAGATTCTCTCACATGAAAATAAGGCTCTCACTGAGGTGTTAAGCTTGGAAAAGAAGCGCTGGCGGCATGGCAAAGGACTAGGTCTATTTGACTCTGAGAAGTCAGGTCAAGCACAGTTCTATTCACTCATCAAAGTTCAGCAGGCTCATGAAGCTCTGCAGACTGCAGAGAAAGTAAAAACTGAGAAGATTGCTCAAGCAGCTCAGAAATGACTTCAATGTGAAATTCAAAAGACTCACATAGCTGAGGTAGCTCAAAGAAAGCAGCTTGAGCAGCAGGCAGCTTTGGAAGCTTCACACAAGGCCAAAGAAGATGAAAAAGCATGAAAAAAAATTGAATGTGAGGCTCAGAGAGAAGCTAGGGCAGCAAAGAAGCTGCAGCTTCTAGCAGAGAAGGAAGAACATGCTCATATGAATTCATGTGGAAAAATGCAGATTGAGCAGCGCTGCTACACCTGCTGCAAGGCACTGGCAGAAGCAGTCTAGCATGCTGGTTTCTGATCTCCCTGGCCCTATACAACCTTTCTATTCAGGAAATAAGGTCAGCCTCAGTGTCTCAAAGCCTCAAAATCCTAATTCCACCATACTGTCAAATCCTCCTACTCCTCAAATTGATCTGCTGTCTCCACCACATGTTTCCTGAAGTGGCCAAATTTGCAAGCCATCAACACGTCTATTTATTTGAACCACCAAAAATATATGTAATTAGGAAATCATTCTATTAATATCTTTAATATCTTTAATTAAATAATTTGTGGTTGTGAGGATATTCGATTTCCAACGTAGTGCGGTGTTTTCGAATCCCTGGCTCGTTTAGTGGTCCGGCTCGTTTAGTGGTCGGTCACGTTACTAAGCTCAAAACCCTAGTTAGTTAGTTAACTACTTGTTAGTTCTCACATCCGTTTACAGTACGAATAATATCAAAGTCAATTTACGTAGTAATTAGACATATTCGTCTTGAAGAAGCGGTCTTTTCTTCTCTTTTCTTTTCTTTCTCTTATTTTTTGTTTGTATAAAATACAACTGAAAGCACACAGTACTCCGAGCTGCGTTCCTACGGTACGGAGATTTTGTTAGACTATTTCCGATAACTTTATTACTCCGAGGTCAATTCAATCAATCCATGCATTGTCAGCTCGGGAGCGAAACCTGCTAATTGGCTTCATAATATAATCTCCCTGTCAAATACTACGTGTGCACGGTTAGAGAGCATAAGGACAAGCCTTTAAGCCATCCAGAATTTCTAAATGTACGATCTATTCTTTCCTGCTCTGCAGCCTGTAGACGTCTATCTCCATACAGATATTGGTGATGTTTTTTATCACTGTGAAATATGTTCTTAAGGAGGACTATAACTGTCTACATAATATCCGGATATCGAACGGACAAATCAAGTAACCAATGTCAAGAACCAATGTTGAAAGAATATACCTACCTAGGTATCCTTAAAAACCAGTAACTCACAAAATGCTTCATAACGACCCAAGCCATCCCGCAGGCTTAAACTCGACAACCTTCAACCCAAGAACATTCCATCAGTCCTCAAATTCATGAAACGGCAGACCTCAAAACCCTCGCCGCCAATTCCCCCAAAAACTTCGCCTTATCTTCCCCCGGCAACGCCTGAAAAACCTCGTAAACGCTCTTCCCTTTAGAATCCCTTATAGCACCCAACCTATTCCCTGCAACAGCACCTGCCAAAGCCCCGGGGAAATTTGCAATAATAAACCCAAGCGCTGCCCCACTAAGCCCGCCCACAATAGCCCAAAAGCTGCCCGTCGGCCTCGTACCTCCATTCAATGTATCCTCTTCTGAAAGACCTTCCTCGCGCAGCATTTCTTCGAACATGGTGCCAAACTGGTCGGAGGCGAAGGAAGCGGACTCTGTTTCCGGGCCTGGGGAATAGGAGGGTTGCGGACGGGACTTTCTCTGTTCCCCTGGCTGTTTTTGCTGCTGCTGCTGCTGTTGTTGCCGTTGGCGTTCGTTGTCATATTGGCGACGGCGGGTGGGGTCTGAGAGGACGTAGTATGCTTCGTTGACTTGTTTAAAGGTTTCTTCGCGGGAGGGGCGTTCGGGGGAGTTGGTGGGGACGCGGTCTGGATGGGATTTTAGAGCGGTGCTATATACAAATTCCCATCAGTTGAATTTGGTGGGGGAGAATTTTCCCACTTTACAAGGGGTAAGTTTCAGGGCTACGACGAACCGTTTATAGGCAACGCGGATCTGTTGTTCTGTGGCTGAGGGATCTATCTCTAGGATTTTATCTGATGTGATGGTAAGTAGTAGGTAAATTTTAAAGGGTAAAAGTAATAAAATACAAGGGAACATACAATAGTCTAGTCCTGGAAGTTGTTGGATAATCATCAGCATCTGAAAATGTAAAAATATCAGGTGAGTTCCTTACCTGCCATTATGAGTCGGCCCAACTTCCAGAGAGCGACTATACATCAAGCAGATAATAGGCAATATAAACAACAAATTTCGAAAATATATTATATATATAGTAGACCACACTAAGACTTAATATATGGCGTTGAAGATATTGCTTAGTGTTTACCAACCCCAGAAAGGTCCATCCATTTGTGTTCGGGTTGAATATATCTTGGTTGGACGATGACGTATGGCCTTGGCATAAATCACATGAGAACCTTAATTTTAAAATTACCACGTGATTACTCTAACTTCATTTAAATAAGCGCTAACTATCATAGGACTAGCTGATATATCCACTAGCCAGCCTCGCCATAAACACTTGAACCAACTCGACAGACGAACATGAGGAGATATATACTCCATGTTATTGCATGTCAATACTCAATACCATCGGCTAACTATCAATTGGCTTTTCTTCTCTTTAACAGCCGCCTAGTTGATGGTATGGACAGAGAAATCAAGATAGGCTCCTTCCAGACTCCATCTCCAGCCCCCTGAATTGCGCCAAGTCACCAGCGGGTCCTCCACTTCAGCCATACACAAGCGGTTCCATATCAAACCCGATTTATATTTCAAGATTTCAATTCCGCTGCATGAGAACCAGGCTATCCGTTCTAGTCAGCTAACCTAATCCAACTGCACCTGCAGCCTCGATTACCTGCATAAAAACCCCATTCCAATACCACCACAAATAACTAAACCAGCAGTTCTTCTCCCCCCTGACGAAACAATGAGTTGGCTCTACCCCTTCAGCGGGCTCAATCGCAGCAACAGCCGTGGCAGTACCAGCAGTCACCGCCTCCAGCACAGTCGGGACAGACACTCAACTACCTCCCGCCACCACCGCAACAGCACCACCTCCTCCCTCTTCAGTATAGGCGGACACGCTAACCGCTCAACACCCTCAATCTTCTCAATTGGCAGCCAGGCCTCGTCCTCATCGCGCCGCGCCAAGCCCCGTTTGGGTTTTGTATGGCGCGTGCTACGCAAGATCAGACGACTGTTCCGCGACATCCTGCACTATGCGCGCCGGCGGCCTCTCAAGGTGTTTCTGCTGGTTATCGTGCCGTTGATTACGGGCGGGGTGCTGCAGAAGCTGTTGTCTGTGGTTGGAATACGGCTGCCGCCCTCCTTGGGAGGGGGAGGGGGTTACAAAGAACGTAATAACGTGGGTGGGTTGAATTCAGTTCTTGGAGGTGGGGGAGGCTGGGGTGGGGTGGGTGACAGTGTGGGTGGGTTGGTGTCGTTGGCCAAGATGTTTGTGTAAACGGGTTCCGGAGTGTGGGGATGCACATTTGGGAATTTGGGACAAAGAGGCATATTAGCTTCCGGGAGTGGCCCGCTGAGAGGGCCCGCAGATTGTACACTTATGCTGTGTATGAATATACGTACATGTACATGTATGTACTTTGGATCTGACGGAAGGGGATTTGGGAGAACCTACCCGTTTTTCCACAAAGTCTTCGCCGCATCAAGACTGTTTTTATGGCTTTTTTTATGCTGGCAATTTTTTATTTTGTACGTTTTTGGTTGTCTGTTTTTGGTGTAATTTTCATGAAACGAATTTATGACATGCCAAAGAATTGATGACAACATGAAATGAAAACTAGATATTTCTATGTGTAATGTCCTGCTAGGAGCTTGACAAGGGCAGCAAACCAGCCGGTCAACACCAGCCAAGCGTCTCCTGCGTACGGAGTATAGCATCAGAGAATGTATATTTATTTATTTATTTATTTGATATTGTATCTCCTATTCCTCTTTATTTTCTGCTTCACTTACATGCGTTTCTTTCCTTCTTCCCATCCACAGCGATAGAGACAAAATTAAAAAGTAAACAATTGATTCGCCATTTAACGACCCAGTTTTCATACCCAAGGCAGATACAGAGGGATATCTATAGCTTGATTGTACATGGAGAAAGAAGAATATATAAAACGTAGCAAAACGTATAATACAGATCTCCCTATTTTTATCAAAGGCATTGCCTCATATCAGATTGGAACCAAGAAGAAAAGGAACAAAAAGATGGCTAGACGGGTCTGCGCAGAAACAATCAACCAACCAATCGGAATCAGAATCAACTCTTCTTCCCCCTTCTTCTCGGCGTGCCGTTATTAGACCGCTTCTTATTGCCCACATCCACAGGCTCATCGACGTCAGCATCCACACCCCCTCCAACCAGCACCTCTCCGCCCTCATCTCCCAAATGGCCACCACCCATCAACTTCCCAACAGTCTTCCGATACGCCCACACAGGTACCTTGAAGGCAAATGTTTCCCTTATAGTTGGCTTCCGGATCTCCTCAATGTCCAACAAAAACTCCTCTTTCTTCCCATCCTCATTCTCCTCCTCCAAGAACACATTCCCCACAGAATCAACAATAAGAATCTTGCCGTTCTCCGCCATCACGCGCTTCCTGTCGCCAGTAGGGCCAATCACGCCTTCGCTGGGCGTCGCAGATCCAGATGATCGCGGTTTACCACTCTTCTTGCCTTCCTTGCGATTCTCCTTATCCATCATACGTTTCTGACGACGATTCACAGCCACAGCGCCTTCACCATTATCTGTCCCGGAACCCGTACCGGCACCACTATTAGATTCACCCAGTCCCGAAATTCCGCGGATCCCCAACTCATCACCCCACGCCGCACGTCTGGCATGTCTGATATACCGATCCACAAATTCCCTCTGCCGCTTCCAGCTCAAAATCAACGCACCGTAATGCGCGGCCCCGCCAAAAGCAATAAACAACCCGAACAACACAGTCCCTAAGCCAGGCCTGAAACGAGAGTAGTAGTAACCAGTCCCCTTCCACGTAGGAAACCCATTGCGCATGAAATGATCATAGCGTTCGCGCCCTGGGCCCCTGAGGATATTATGGACGACGCCTAGGCGCGCATAGCGTTCTGTAGCGAGTTTGACGGCGTGGGCGATTTCGCGTTCCGAGGGGCCATGGGAGAGGTGCACAGAGGGTTTTTTGCCCTTGGAATCCCGAGATTGCTTGTGTTTCTTGATGGAATAGGTCGCAATGAAGGCACGTTTGACTTTGTCGGGATGAAGTTGTTTGGATTTTTGGCGGAAAGCTTTGAGGAGGTCTGCTTGAGAGACGGTGGGTTTTACGCCGAGGAAGTCTGGGGCTGTGTTAGTGGATTGGATTGTTGCCTTTTTTTTAAACAAAAAATTTCCCTATTTCTAATTCCAATGCAGAGGGATGGTTGCATTGTTTGCCTCAATTTCAATGGAATAGGTGTTTATATATAATAGGGTCGGATACGCACCGTAGAAAGTAACATTGGAACCTTCGGTCTGATGCAACTCATCTCGCAGACGGAATATCTCATGGTCTAACAGTGGTCAGCATCACGCACGAGATATTCATGTGAGGGAAGGAGTAGAACAGGTTCAAACAAGGGCCTAGAAGTGAACGGGAGTATCAAACCTTCTTTGCTCCACGCCGCCACCAACACCAGCAGGGATGATAGGACGAGAAAGAATCTTGCCAGCGAGTGCCTCATTTTGGGCCAGAAGAGACTCGGGGTCCGATTGCCAACAGACGAGAAATTTGGCGCCCAACGAAACGGGGGTTCGTAGTTGGAGTCAAAGGACAGGCGAACAAAGGCGGGCACGTAGTGTTATAATTAATAGTATGGAAGAAGTGTGAGGTTCCCTTTCCCTGTGCCTTATTGCTTTTTCAATTTTTCAATTTTCATTTTCATTTTTATTTTTACTTATTTTTGAGACCTTTTTGTCCTTGCCGATTTTCTTTCTCCGCTGGAAACAGGCTGGGTTTCAACGTGGACCAATCAATCAATGCAGCCTTGCAGCGGGCAAGTCGACAGAGAGAATAAAACAACGCTGTTGTGATGAGAATGTGGGAATTTGCAGGCGGGCGGGCAGACGAGTACACGACGACAATGGTGACGGGAACGGGTTTCGAATATTTAAATGGGTAGCCCTCGCCCTGTCTTGCCCTTGTGCTCCTCTTTTCTTTTCCTTTCCTCCTCCCTTGCCGCTTGTTGTATGCTATTTTCCTCTGTGTTTTGGTAGACGAGTAGCAGCGGCGGCTAAGATGGAGGCTACTGGGCCTATTATTTTCGGGGTGCCCAGTTAAGGCGTAAAGGCGGGACCCAACCACTGCAGCAATACGCCGAGTAGATACCGAGATTGAACGACAACGTTATTACAAATTCGATTTACCGTCTCTCTTGCCAATTTCTAACTGCCTCCTCAATACATTTTTTATATCTTGTTCTATTCTATTTTGTTTTTCATTCTTTTCCATCATTCTTTCATATTCTCTCCCCTTTACTTTACCTCTGAGATTCGATCCCCTCCCGCCACCTTAACACTAAACCCAATCAGGAGCTTTTTCACACGTGACAGATTTCCCCTTAATGGCAAAACGCTGCTGAGTCATCGTTCCTTTTCTGGTTTAGCGTATCGGGCTCCACAATTGCGGCTCAGCTTTGCTCTTTTCGGCCTGCGCAAACGAGACCAAATTGCGTTCTGCCTGTTAACATTCATTCTATCTCGATTTCATCTTCCATTCAACAGCCATATAGACATCTCTTGCAGTATTGCCTGTTTCCCCGGTCTATTCCAGAACTATACACCCCCCGAGCAGCATTGCAAGGAAACCCGTATCTGACGTATTTACCTGCAATTCTACCGCAAGTAGAAGCCAAATTCCAAGAGTACGTGACTGTTTTCCCGGTTTTGGATTCAAAATGCAAACCTTGTCACAAACTTGTCTTTATGCTTTTAAAGAGATATTAATACTGTGCTTCGATAGAGAACCCTCGAAATATTTTCGAGAACCCAATTATCACATCTCCGCGGAACGTTCAGTCATTAATTCAATCACAGAATGGCTCGCCTCCAGATACCGCTCGATACCCTGACCTCGCGGTTCAACCTGTCCGACAGGTTCGCCGGCGTCCGCTCGCAGTCTCTTACTTCCCGCTTCTCTAATCTCAAACCCCTCTCCGAATTTTTCGACATCAAACGGATTTCCAAGCCAGCCAACTTCGTCGACATCCAGAGCCGTGTGAACTACAATCTGAGCTACTTCTCCAGCAACTATGCCGTTGTCTTTGTCATGCTCAGCATCTACAGTCTGCTTACGAACCTCACCCTTCTCTTCGTCATCCTCCTAGCTATTGGTGGCTCGTACGGAATTGGTAAGTTGGAGGGACGCGACTTGGAAATCGCTGGGTTCCGGGCTACAACATCACAATTATACACGACATTACTCGTCATTTGCGTGCCCATGGGTCTCTGGGCTTCCCCATTAACCACCGCACTGTGGCTCATTGGGGCTACTGGCGTGACCGTTCTGGGTCATGCTTCCTTTATGGACAAACCGATCGAGAATGCTTTTTCAGAGGAGGCGGTCTAGATGGTCGGCCGCGAACTCCTTACGATTCGCCCCTATGGGGAAGACCTTCAGGGGCACGAATGGGGAGATCCAACAAGGGGGGTTGGGCGAAGCAACTGGATGAGTCTGTTAGAATAGAGCAGCTAGATAATGATGGCTACGATGATGACGATGACGATCATGGTGCACGACCTGTTGGTTTACCTTTCGATCCAAACCGGTCGGGTAACAGGGAGATGGGAATGCTGGGCCCTCTTGATTATGAGTCCCGCGCATGCAGGAAAGGAACTTATGGATTTTATGATGAAGAAGATGAGGAATTCTCGAGTGATGATGACCAGGACGAATATGGCCTCGTTGATAGGGATCCGAATAGCACGATGTCCTACGCCATTCAGCTGGCAAGGCGAGACAAACAAATACAACTTGTAGACCGGGCTCTAGGGAAAATACGTCGTGCTCAAATGCAAGGGCAAATTAAAGTCAAGCTCTCGCAGCGGGAACTTGATGCATTGGAGAGAAAAAGAAAACTTGATGGCAACCCCAATGGTTCTCAACGCACGGTGGTTAAGGACCATCCAACAAATGAAGCCAAGCCAAAGATCGCGGGCAAACAAGGCAAACAACCTACGAATGTGTCGCCCCCGAAAGCATATCCTGAACTGAGACGGACCATGCCGGGTGGATATAGTTCTGCCACAGAGTCTCCTGGGCACTTCTCACCAACCCCAGGCCGACCATCGAGCTCGTCGGCGAAGAAATCTCGTTCGCGAGCTCCTTCGATACCCTCACCCATGATGCAACAGCATCCAGGCACACCACCTCGCAGTCACCAACAGCAGCAAATATATCAACGGCCTCTGCCATTTACCGTCCCAGAAGATCAAACAGTTCGACCCGGTTCTTCCTATCAACCAGCTCCACCGCAACTACCAAGTGACCCACACCGGACGCCACGCTCTCGATCGGTCTCGACTACATTCTCCTACCCAATGCACCACCACCACTCTCCCTACCAAACATATCCTTTAGCTTCCATTGACCCACACTACAGCTACTCGACCCATCCATATCGAAATATGATGCCGCCACCAATAGACGCGTATCAACCTGTCTATCGCTCCGTATCCGGCGACTCTTACATGCTGAACCACTTACCATACTCGCCATCTGATCCCTTCGTTGTCCAGCATGCTTCTCAACAATGTGAGTCACCAAGGTCTATTCAAAGGAGTAGCGGGAGTAGCAGCAGCGATAGTGGCGTGCAGGTCGATATGAATGAGAACCCCATGGCACCAAGTGGATGTGAATTGCGAAAATCAAGTGGTGGGCATGGCCTTTGTCGTACGCTCCTGCGAAAGCGTCGTGCCCGCTAGCTCCTTATCTATGATACCACCGTCGTTATCATTATCATGACATTTATCTACCATCGTCATCGTTGTTGTCATTGTCACTATCGTCACTATACCTAGCTTCGGTTATAAAACGGAATAATAGACTTTTTCGAGTGAGCGGCGTTACAATTACTCTTGTTTTTTTTTTTCATTTTTCATTTTTTTTTTTATTATTTATTTATTTTCTGTCATCGGTTTATCGTGTTTCTCCTTTTTCCGCCTTCTATTATTTGCGTCTTCTCTCTCCCCAACCAACTCGTGCCCCTTCAGCTAAATTTCTCTCCCTTCCCATTTATGGTTATTTTCCTTATCGGGCTTGTCTGGTAAGTGATTCTTGGTAATTTCTAAATACTCATAGAGAAGAGGAGGAAAAAAAGGAAACGGGAAACATAGTACCTGGTATACAGCTACATTTGCATACAGGGTGGCTTCGTTTGAATTTCTCTTCTATTAATAGCCTTTTAATTTTCCTTTTTTTGGCTTTTCGTTTTCATTACGATTGAGGCGTATTGCGTATTGATATTAATATTGCGGTCTACTATTCTTTCATAAAGGGATGGTTCCAGCTATATATCAGGCGGTAGACTTTAATGACGTTTTAATACTTTTGTTTTATTTTTCTATTTCATACCTCCCCCTTGTGTTTTGTGGCCGATTAGGTTTAAACATGTTCTATACGATGGGATCTGATTTTATCCAAAATATTCGTTACCTGTCAATGGGATTAACGGCTGATGAAGAGGTAATGTCCTTTTGCACTGGTAGAATATGCTTCCTAATATTCCCCTGTCTTTTGATCATATTGTTGCGCCTGACAAATCCTTTGTGACAACCAACCTTGGAGATGAGTGAGCTTCAACCTTCTTGCGTTCCAATCGAGTCATATTGCCCCTGATAAAGATGTGCAGGGATAGGCTGGATAAGTTCCGTTTGTACAGCGAGTAGAATTTAGTCATTCTTAAATAATCTAGCAACACCTTTATACACAAACTGTCTGCAGTCCTATGTCGTAACTTGTACTCTTTTTTTTTATTTTTTTTTATTATTTTTTATATTGTGTGTGTGTGTGTGTGTGTGTGTGTATGTGCGCTTCCATGTCAATCGCATACAAAGGCTGCAACTTACACCTGTATAAGGAAAGCAGTGGCATGCCCCGCCGAAAATCACAGCGGCAGCCCACTCCCAATCCCGATCCCCCACCTACTCAACTGTCTCTCGAGATTCGCCGCATGATATGGACCAATCATAAAAGCACTACACATCGTCCGCAGCCAGAGAAAACCGGAACTGCAATACGCTGTCTGTTCCGGTGACGTCGACGATGGAGCTGAGCGTAGTTATGTTCTGTTCAGAAGTCGTGGCGATTGAGCCACACAAGGAAGCTGTGAAATATGGGCGGCTGCAGCGGCTATATACTACTACACACTTTGGCAACTTGATGGCGATGGGCAGGAGTGTTTTAAACATACATGAATCCATACGTAAGTTTCCTTTTTTCAAATGAACCTCAGCATCAATGTTACTGATCATAGCTTATCTATATAACTACACGGAAATCACCCCACATCTATACACTGCGTGTGCACTTTTACCTTCTCTGATATCCCTGCACTGTTCAAGTTCACCTCTTCCATCCCCCCAATACACCTCCAGCAGAACATCCGCTCCATTCATGGTACAAGTTGTTTTCATTGGAACAGAGAACATCCCAGTAGAATTACTGATGCCGTTGGCTGGCTTGCGAAGCGAATGGGAGGTGAGGGGTGTTGTCATGGGGTTTATAGGAAGGGCGAATTAAAGAATTTGAGGAATGCAGGCAGGTAGATCTACTGGGTTTATTAAACTAATTGCATGGTTCGTATGGGAAAGCGATTCATCAGGGGACTCTGTGAGAAAACTATTACTCAACCAAAAAAGTATACCCAGACGACCATTGGTACGCTTTAGTTATTGTTTTATAGGGTTGAGTTTCGGGGTCGGGCCGAACCCAACGGCATCCCGTAACTGCCTCCCGAACCCCCGCAAACCTCCTAGATTACATAATATCTATACCATCAAAATCTCTAGATCTTTAACCGTGAAACCTCGTAATCGTTTTGACGATGGATGGATGCGCATTCCCCCAGAATGGAAGTCAGCAAGGCATTTTCCCATGTCGAGCAATTTGATCTCATGTCCGCTTTATCTTTTCGAGTTACGATTTCAATGTCCATTCAACATTGCAAATTAGATACGCGGATTCTGGAATGAAAGAACCATGCAGGAACACAGAATATGGTGTTTTATTGTGAGAATTAGCGGTTTTAAAGCTCAGAATTAATAGAATAGCCACCATCCTAAAGACAGTTCAGTTCTGTATTGATACAAATATTGCAATGTATTCTGAGGCTTCAAGCAGAAGATTATATGCTGTGATTCATTGATGTCACATCCCGAGTTGTACCATAGGTCAAGTCCCTCTTCATTTGCTCCCCATAAAGGAAACAAGAGAGGATCATGCTGATTTTGTTGTGACATAAAGAAGCCATCTGCAAGCATATAATACCTCATTTGCTTGGACATGGAAATGATTCAATATCTCATCAGCACGAATTCTGCAATAGGTGCAATCATCATCATCATCATCATCATCATCATCATCAATGTATGAATTAATTACATCTGTTTGCCTTTCTCGCATTCACAGTTGTAGATGTTGTGAATATGGGAGTGGCTGACATGAATGACATCATGCCGAGAATGATATTTCACACGTGGCAGCCCGAACCCTAAAATGCCAGCCTAGAAATCATAAAAAACAAGAGTTGGCTGCCCCTTTTCAAGTCAAAATCCTTGTGTTTGAACTGCATCGATTTCTTACGTAGAATACACGAGTTATGCGCGTCAGCGACAGTGCATGAGATTCCCAGATATATTTTTTAATCTTCAAGCTCTCAAAAATAGTCCTCAGCTTCTCCTGTGTTTCTGTCTACGTCCAGCAGCACAAAACTCTGTTTCGACCGCGCCCGCGGTTGTTTCAGTCGTCGCAGGTAGCTATCTTCTGAGAATGCTCCGGAAGCCTCGACATCATCAACACAACGGGGTTTCATATTCTACAACAAACGCCACGACGGAAATTCAGCTGTCTTGGAGCTTCGTTTGTACTATTAATGTCCCCACATAAATTACCCGCTGGGAAGCGTCCTTACTATGCGCCTCCCTTAGCAGCCAGAGAGAGGGCAGCGCCTGCACGTAGTGAAATAGACATGATTTTATGAATCACGTGTTGGACTGATATTTTGAGCCCAAATATCGCATCCCATATGGAAGCTGCAGCAGAATATCGGGGAACGCTACCCCTGGTATCTCCGCGCGTTATCTTGGTGGGGAGGAACATATGCACATGTATCTGTATTTCCTTGGCGTGACGTTAAGCTACAGGAATGCCGAGCTCCCTCTGCCCCGTTCACCAAGGGATGGTACCTTGGATGACGTCGTCCCAGACTTTTCTCTGAGGGTTCGCTGTCTACCTCCATACATATACTCTTTGCTAGCCATCTTTGCGGTTCACTCGACCTGCTCCTGTTTACACTCCTTCCGCCCATTCCCACTCATCCCACATCCTTCTAAAAGCCTCTATGCCGGCGCCGGTTTCGATTCTACATTTCCCAAGCTCAACACTCAGGAATTGCGCCCGGCCTTATTAGCCACTGTATGACATAGAAGGGAATCCAGATGACCTCTCAGTGATGTTTCGGTGCCCTTTTTCTTTCTTTCTTTTCATGACGAGGTAAGAAGGTGATGGGCTTGTTGCGCGGTTATACTGAACATTGATATTCCATCGCCCACTGACAACATGAATACTTCTACTAACCCATCTCCTTTATCAATTCGGAGACCAGACTGAACCTATCCGCATTTCCTAAGTTCATATAATTATCACCTGTCTTACATTTTCATACACTTCCCATCTGCGACAATCCGCCTGTCCTTCACGGTAACACCTCCCGTTGTGGTGTATCTCCCGGGGCTCTCTGCCTTACAAATATTTTTCGGGTTAAGACCACGTCTTCTCTTGTGCGGGAGCAAAAAGGACGATTTAAAATGTGGATTATATCGTTTTGGGTTTTCCCTGTAATTGGGTCCTCCATGTGGCTAGGTGGGTAGTTCGGAAGAGCTATAACCCCAGATACTGATAAAGGCTAATATGGTCTCAACAAATAATAGCTACACTTCTTACCTTGCTCATACGATGGGCCGTTGTTGAAGGACGCCCACATTATGACAGCATGGGAAAATACCAGAATATAGCGTAAGGAGGATGTTAATCCCAATAACCTTCAATCCATCATCTCCTTGTTTCTAACACGGATTATACATCAAACGCAGATACATCTCAGATGTCGGTGCTCAAAGATTGAAACCTCTCTTTATTGGTGCTTGCACTGTTACATCCGTGCTTTTCACCCTTTCATTCATGTCGGAACGATGGCTTCGACATACCGGTCAACTTGCCAGAAATAAGGGAAAGTGGGATAAGGGATTTGCCATCACCTCTATAGTATTTTCCATGTTTGGGGGTCTCGGACTGATTCTCCTGTCAATTTTTGATACCTTGAGATTTCCCATATTGCACAATGGGTGTTTGTTCCTTTTCATGTAAGTTCTCCCTCACCCATCCCATAAGAACTCTTATATGTTTGCGTCCGTGCTAGAATATATGTGGAATATGACCTAATCAAACAAAACTGAGACATAGGGGAGGATATATTCTGAGTGCAGTCTTTGTGTGTGCAGAATACCAAAGACTCGGGATATATTATCGACAACACACTATTCTAGCGGCAAGCTTTTGGACCAAACTTGCATTTATCTTCGTTGAGTTTTCCCTTGCTATTACATTTATAGTTACTGGCAAACAGGAGAAAAAGAAAAACATTGCTGCAGTAATGGAGTGGAGTAAGTCAGCGATTTTTATTACTATCTTTCGTCCTTTTCTCAATTGCACGAAAAGGAATCTAACCAGAGCCCTGTACCAGTTATTGGATACATATTCACCTTCTACGTCTTTTCCTTCATAATCGACCTTCTTCCCTCCGTTAGAACTCGCAACCACATCCCCCAGGGCAAACGCATATCAGAGACAAACCTAGTAAACGCAATGCAACAAACATCTCAACCCCAAGTCGATGTCCATTACGAACAGCCCCTAACCACTGACTCCATGGGGGATAGGGGAAATGCTGATCACAGATACATCATAAATAAACATGCTGCCAACGGAGGGGTAACTGAACCCTCAGCTATTGCGGAAACGGGGGGTTACGTGCCATCTGGCCAGTTGCATGACCCGCGGACAGAACGATAGGAGCGGCAGTAGATAATCAAGGGATGGACTTGACAGTGTTCGAGCGAGAATTGGGTCTTTGTCTTCAATTCTCTTTAACAGAGGGCGTTTAGAAAAAAGGGGAAGTACGCTTTTATTATTATATCCTTACTGCGTTAAGAGCGGGAGAAATGGATCACACTCCTGTTTCTCTTTATTGTATCATAAGAATCTCTCTGTTGTTTTTGTCTTTATTTCTGTTCTTGTTGTTGTGGCAGATCACTGTGGTTTTCCATCTTTTATTTCGTTTCCTTCTTCCGGACCACCGGAAGGAGGGTAGTTTTGTGTGTTTTTGATTAATGTGTATTTCATTTGTAGATTGTGCTATTGTTAGAAGGTCCAGTCTTCTATCAGATTACCATGGATAATTGGACATAACAATTCCAAAGGCCAGAAGAGGATTCTTTTGCCGATAAAGAATCCAGGGCACGTGACTTCCATCTTTGAATCCGGGAAAGGGAAAGAAAGGGAAAGAAAGGGTCTTGCCCGGTCATGTTTGTTTTCCTAATGTTTCATATCCTGGGCTGTGGGATTTTTGGAGGGCAGCGGGAAAGAAAGGAACTATAAACAACAAGGAACGCAAACCCGGAAAACGGATGCCAGAAGATAATAAATCTTGGGCTTAACTCTCTTCTGAGGCTGTATCGTCACCAGCCGTACAACCAGTTAAACAACCCGATCCAACCAGCTGCTAGCAACCTAGCCCTTAAGCCACTAGCAGGGCCCTAACCATCTCAACAGCCCCCGCTTCCACCCCAACAGCTTTCAAATAGCCCCTAATGCCACCATATCTCTCCTCCAAAAACTCAACAACGTCCTCCGTAAACCCATCCCAACACTTTGCAAACTCATCCGGAAGCCCCAGTTGATTCATCTCCCGCAAACGCTCTTCCAGCTCGGGGATTAGTTCTCCCTCCGAAAGGCGGTAGTCGCTCGTTATTGCCGAGAGGGGGATCTTGGCTTTGCCTGTTCCTGTGACTACGACCGTGTCTAGAGGCCTTCCCAGAGCTGCATATCCCTCTCCACCGGGTGCTTCTGCTCCACTATCCTCCCTCTTCATCTCCCCAGAGGAGACTAATAACAGGAGCAGGATAATCACTAAACCTGTGCGGTCCTTGCCCTGCGTGCAATGTATGACTGTTGGATATATGCTAGGTTCGCTTAGGTATCCGAACAGTTCTTTGATCTCTGCCTGGCTGGCTGTAAGCGTATCACGGGCAAGCCCATTGAGGCCGCGGGGAACAATAGCTTGCTCGACGATCAATCTCGTGGCGGCACCACGGTAACCAGATGCAAGGAGGGAGAAGAACTTTCTGTAAAGGAAGATGGATCGCTGTGAGTATTAGAAGTACATGCACATGTGATTGATTTCCCATATCTGCCTTTGATTCCTTTTGAACAAATGCATGTAAAACTTAAGTATGCGTACTCACAGTATATTAAACCAACTTAATCTCCATAACAATGTCTTTTCGAAGTTCCACCCGGCCAGGCTGAGCATGATTCGACGCACTCCGGGAAGGTTTACGAGGTGCTCATCATTTGCTATTGGTTTCGGTTGCGGAGAAGTTTCTGCTGCTTCTTCTGCAGCGATTCGTTCATTAGCAAGACGTCGATTGGCCGCCATGGTATGCTCAGTTCTGGGATTGCATGTATTAGATCAGCATAATGCGTGCACATCGAATCATCACTAAGGCCCGTGGGATTAAAGAGTGGCTACTCTATGGAGTAACTGAAACTGGTATAATAAGGACATTATGATATACACATCAGATATAGGGGGAGTTATATCCTTACGTTGACCTGAGATCAATAATAGTAGCCAAACGTAGCTCATTGGTAAAGCGCTCCTGATCCCGTTGTGAGGCATCGTCCGGCTTAATTCTTACCATTAGCAAACTTCTGGAATGCGTTCTAATATTGTTGAGTTTTGTGAAGCATGGCTTTCCATCCGCTTTACCATTGAGGTGCTTAGAAGGAACCGCAATGGTAGAACGCCATATATCCACTAGAAGGTATTTGGCGGATTCGGTACGTAGCGCAAAATGAATAATAAAAGATGGTATATAGAGAGATAATTAATAAACGGAGAGCAAGGGAAAATGGAGAGATTATTACCCTAGCACTTCGGAACAGGATACCTTCTTTCAGAACACTGTGGTTATGGAGCAAACTGTCAGTTTCCTCAGGTAGCAATATGAGAACAGGACATACGGTCATTGGATAATATTATAGAAATATTCCAGTAACCATAGTGCGGTAACTGCGTAGCAGATACCCAAAGGTTGAACCAGTACGACGGCTAAAAGGCCAACAGGCGGAGAGGTGGCCTTCTGGGGCGGTTTTTCATACCGTGATCCGCATAAGCGATTGACATATGCTCCCACATCACGAAAATTAAGAATATTATCAAATGGAGGATGTGGGGAACTAGTCCCTTCCGTAGAAGGGTGTTGTATGTTGCCATTATCAATGATGCTAGCATTGATGTCCGAGCTGACACCAGGGAGTTTCGCGAGCATGGAGTGATCATGCATGATACATTCTCTCGTTCTTTTGTTCCTTTCTTAAATGCTTGCTAGAAGCACATTTCTGGTCCAAAATATGATGTCGTTGATTTAAGAGTCAACTTGAGAATATCGTAATTAGAATTCAGCCTAGCTGCTATAAATACATGGAATCCACTTGGCGATGAGATGCTCAGGAGACCGCTTCGTCTTTCGGAAGTTTCCTGAAAATATTATTAGCAGTAAACTCACAAATTCAATTCTAGATACATACATCAAATTCGTATGATGATTTGAGTTCAGTGGCTCTAATAAAAAGTTGCTCAAATGCTAGAAGGACCCATGAATTGGTGTTCTTGGGGCAGGAAAATAATGAAGAGAAGGAAACATGCAATTAAGCTGTAACTAATTTAACTAGTTAATGGAGCCGCAGCTCAACTTAAGCTTAGTTAGTTACTGGCTAGCCAACCTTAAATCCACCCTCAGACTTAACTCTCCACCAGGATCTTAGATGATTAAATTTTTGTTTAACTACACTGCTTCAATGAAACATACAAAGAGAACAAAGGAAGATATTGGGAAACAAACATTCTCTCGACATCTGTGATCGATGATTGCTTGATAGTCTTGGCGCTAAATATAGGCCAATGCAATTCGCAGATAGTGTCGAAAGATTTACGATAGAGGAGTTTTCCGCCAACTCTTTGAATGCATAACTATAACTATAGTTTGGTTTTGCCTTTGACTCTTACTTTTCCCGGTGGTGGTGGTTTGTTTCAATATCTTGAATTTTCACACTTCCACCTTCATGTCCAACTTTTACTACTATTCTACATACCAGAAGTTAGGCTAGAACAACATAGCAGCCACCAACGGGCAACCCCAAGATATAAGTTGGGAACTGTTGAGGCTCAATCTTCTTGCCGTACACTATCCTTAGTGGCGAAAAACAGCTCACATCTAATGGCTGCAGTAGATGAGAGGAATGAGGAGGCATATAAAGAGCTATAATATGATGACCCATTGTCAAATACGGCTGTAGCATGACTGCCATGTCCATCATAATCAGCAGTCTATATCTGCCAGCTGTACGAGCCTCAGTATGGTCTGTTGAATACCTCTCGCAGCCATATTAAGCCAAGCTCATCCGTAGTCCAACCCTTCTCACTAAGACCAATTGTCCAATCCGCTGGCAGTTGCTCATACCATGCGGATTGGTGAAGCTTTCCCTAGAGTATGATCATAGGAGGTAGATTCCAGCCCGTAGCATTGACTGATTCAATCACGGTTGCCCATTCTCTATATCCTGGCTGTATAAGAGATGGCTTGCCTTCTTTCTCAGCTCTAGTAATCACCCAGGCCGTTGTAATAACTCCCATTAGAAAGCCAATCTCATCAAAGTTGAACGTATCCTCCGGCACAATTCCATACCTCTTTAGAGTATTATCCACCAATGTAAACCATTCATGTAAAAGTTTTAAATTCTCGCATAAAGCTTGCTCGTAGTTATACTTGTGTGAGAATCTAGTCTCCAGTTCAGAGTGCCGTTTGATAAATCTTTCCACCCACCTTACCCCCGCAATAGTTGTAGTAGCATATTCTCGCACTGAAAGTAGTAGATGGGCCATATCTTGTACGATCGCGATTCGGGAGGCTGTCATCTCTCATCCATGGATATTATCCATTAAACTAGAGATTCTTCTTCCGTAGAGGTCAGCATTCGACTGTTAAGTTGAGAATTTGAACAAGTAGTGCCTCCGTATAGTCTATAACATAGTGAGGAGTAGGGGACGCGAAATGACTTAGCAGCAGCTCTAAGAGTTTAATTTCGATTCGTTCTATAGGCTTTAATAGCTAATGAAAGTTTAGCTTCTTGATTAGAAGGCTTCTCTGCTGAGGGTGGTTCCCATATTGGATAATTTAATGACCTGGGAGGGCTGGAATGAAAGATTGATCAAATAGGTGTCGTGATCAAAAGGGTGTCGGATTACGTTAACTCACTAGTTAACTATCAAGAGACCTTCTCCATCCTTAAAACTGGTGTGGATACTTGCTCATCAACAATATTTCGGATTGGATGCAGTTCTTACTAAATTGTTTCAAGAGTAACTGCCATCCTCACGTTTATTGGTAGTTAGAAGGAGATAGCTTCTAGGAATTTATTCTGTTATTTTGAGAATCTGCCACATTTTTGTTGGTGTATCTCGCTGCAGGTATGCAGCACTCAATTCAAGATATGGATTGACAATGTTGGCTAATCTTACCACTCTGCTCTGGATATTTTATTATAGTTCAATCGATTCATGTTGGAGGCTGCAACTGAAATACAAGTTGGCGAGCGTAAAAAGATCGATCCGTTTCACATACGTTGGCTTCGGATGAGTTACTAAAAGAACACGGTATCGAAGCACTGTAACTTCTTTCGACCATCAGAACCATCTGGTACGAGGCAAACTGGAACATGATGGTAACCACTAAGCCCTAAATCGATGCCTTGATGCAGTAACTAGTAAATGGTTACATCTTTAAATCAATTCAGTTAACTTGCTATCCATTCTGGCTATTGCCATCGGTAGAAAGAAACGCGAATACCAACTTTCATAATGTAGAACGATGCCTGCGGTTATATTGAATAACAAGCAGCCGCATCAGGGCGACGAAGTGGTTAGCATGGAGAGTATGCTGGCTGGTGGCAGGCGCTGTTATTCGGGAAATCCTGCGTTCTATAGGCTGTGGAATAGTTTGCACCTTTCCCGATATCTTTGTGTTTCCGGCTTGCCAGGGACACCGCCAATTCCTTATTCTGTATCCGTACCATTTTGTACGTCTATTATCCACTCTAGACTTGGAAGTACCGGAATAGAAATGCGCATCGTGTTCGCATGGTAGACAGTATGACCATTGAATCAGGAAATTTGCAGTCAGTCTACCGCAAACAACTAGCATTTCTCGAGGGTCAAATAGGATAAAGTGCCTCCAATGGCTTATCCTAAATAAGGACTCGAGGAGAGACATCATGACTATATCTCTGTTCAATTCCAATCTGCTCAGAAATTCTATGATCAGCATTGATAAGTGATCGTAGCTTGTTTTCGCCGTTAGTTAGTAAGTTTGATATTGATGTTAGTTGCCTTAACGGCAGCCGGGCCAACTCACTCCCAGAACAGCCACTTCTAAAAATATCCTGTATGTAAATTAGCCGACGCTAGCCATAGGTAAGCTTGTGTTTGGAGCGAATGATCCACGTCTATAAAAGCTGGTGAAATCCGCAGATATGAGGGGTGAGGTAAAACAAATAAATAAATAAAACAAGGTTTGAATTACAGCGGTTATTCCACTAAATGGGATTCTATGCTGTTCCTGTTGTCCGATAGCACTTAATCTCGCGAACTAGGACAAAAGAACAATGCTATTTGCGCTTCTCGAAATTTGCGGATTCTGTTACAAAGATGTGGGCGTAGGGTACACCGTTCTCCCCTATATTCCTGCCATGGCTCATAGCATGCGGTGGTGAGAATGTCGAACCCCACCCCAATCAATTATCTATCATGTGAACCTCACATATTTACAAAGGATGGAGGTTAAGCCCATATCCTGTTTGGATTCGTTAGGACTAGATCGAACCTAGCCGCAGCCGCGGTTCAAGCTAGCCAACAGCCGCGCTAAACCCATTTAGCCGCAGCCCTACGTCACACGACCGGACATCCGACCCTGACCATCCCAGATATGACATTTTGCCGCCCGCAACGTCCTTAATGGCATCTGGGAAGCGCCTGACGACTTGGATATAGCTAAACGAACTCTCTCGCCAACTGTGTTGTCATCGCCACATCCCTCATTTTCCCACTAGATTCTTCCACTACCCGGCGCCCTTCTGCTGAAATTGGAGATATGTCTTCTGCCTTAGCCAGAACCACGATTTACACAATTTACGTCTATTCTTTTACCAGTTCACGATCACCGACATGTCTACCGTGATACCTTCTCACGTGAGGAATCAACCAGATTCAACTGAGGGCCATGGTGAGTGAATTATTTTCTATTGACAGGATCGCTTTTGCAGTCTTTTAGTTGCACCATCTAATCCATCTTCTCAAAAGCCGCTTCTGCCGCCCTACACGCAGTCCGCCCGAGACCAACAGCGGCTGGAGGCGCTAACGATACTGGCCGTGCTGGTGAGTCTATTTTAAGGATTTCCATCCATTGGGCCGATCTGGGCCCGACGAATTTATACAAACTGACCCATATCGACTAGCAGGTACCGGCGGCACCACTGACACATCTGGCTACCCCGACCCATCAAAACTTTCTTCTGCTGATCAGGAAACTGCGTCTGCTGGTGCTGCCGCAAGCTTAGCATATGCGGGATATACGGCTCGAGAGATAAACGAAGTGGAGACTGAACACCCCTTGCGAAACCCCCAGCTTTGTACGACAAGTTACCAGGCCGCAAGCTTAGCGGGGAGGGTTCAGACCAGCAGAAATACTAAAACTATGGATGGCAAAGCTTTAGACCATAAAGGAGAAGTCCCTAAGGACAGCGAGGGCGCAAGGCTTGCAGCAACTGGTGCATTTTCTAAAAGCCGCAAAAGATCGGAATCAGCTCCCACTCCCCTTGACAATCCTATCTCAACCTATTCACTCACTGCGGCTACTACATGCCACAGAGTATTCTCGGGCCCGAAAACGGTACTGGGAGAGTCTGAGCCAGCGTTCGATCTTCGCCAGATTCATGAAGCAGCGTTAGGTAATGCCCGACGCGAACTGCATATCCAGGCTGATACACAACACGTAGAAGCTATGACAGTGGCCCGTCAGATGTTCTCTGTTATGCCCCGGGTGGAAGCTGCTGTATCCTCCATAACTTCGCACCACCAGGAGCCTACAACATTTGCGCGACGGTCTTCTTTATATGAGACCGCCCAAAAACTAGCGTCAGAGAGATTATCACAGATGCATAACGAACAAAAGGCACCCAGAGGTTACTACCATGCGGCTCATGTACTAAGGCGCTCGACTTCTATGTATGCGAAACTAAGAAAACGCGCTTCCAGTGAAAGCAGTGATACCGACATGGGAGAAGAGCTGTCTACAAGGATTCGATCGCAAATGACAGATTTCCACCATAAAATGGCGAATGTTGATACTGAAAAAATGGCATGGGACCATGAGTCTCTGATGAGAACAGCAAAAAAAAATGCGGACGCGGTAATAGATGACGTTGATCAACATATCTATGAGACCACAGGAAGACCACCTTCTCGCATGTTAGAAAAATTCTCAATGATCAATGGGGGAACAGATGATGTAGTTACTATTGGAACAGGCAAATCTGTAAAAGAGGGCGAAGTTGATCGTGCTGTCCGATCTAAAGCCAAGCAGACCATTGATGACATTATGGAGAGAATCGAGGAGCAACGAGCAAGGTGTTTAGAGGAGGAGCTTGATGAACGGGAAGCCTTGCGCCAGCATCAATTAGAGAAAGAACGCAGGGAATCAATGAAAAAGACTGTTCAGTATGAAGAAGGTTGGTGTCCTCCCTGGTTCCTTGCTTGCCTTTACTTGTCCTGTTAACACGCGTTACAGATGATGAAAGAAAATTCATGAGGGATGAAAAAGAAAGGAAAACACTACTAAATCGCATCAGCAGAAATTCAGGGGCCAGTATGTTTAGGCGAAAATCTGCAAAAGCCCGGGGGAAAGCTCGAGCAACGGAGGAGCTCCCGGCTCCCGGCGCCCTAACAAATGGCACCACAGCTCAGTCAGATGAAGAGGAAGTCATAGGCATGACCAGCGCTTCACAGCAGCAAAATTCTCCATTTATATCTCACATGGTCACTTGCAGTGCAGGAGAGTCTTCTCGATCAATACTGTTAGAACCCCACTTCCGTGGTCTGTCCCACCAATCGAGCAGGAGCTCCAACAGAACGCAGTCTTCCGCATCTGAAAATGCTAGCTCAACACTCAAGCTGTTTCCTAGGGATGTTAAACCCAGCCAGGATCAAGATCGCAATGTCCTCAAGATGACAGATAAGGTAGCGGATAACCGGCTTGCTTCAGGAGAGGGGCCTGAGAGACGAAAAAGCGCTCCTGCAGTAGCAACCGAGGGACCTCAAGTGAATGGCCCACTGGATACTGACGGTAGGCACCGACCCCCTGCAGCCAGGCCCGTCGCACGTCAATGGAGCTCAACTACCGAAACTTCTCGGGAGGTAACGGAGCGCAAGGATGGGGAGAGCAGAGTCTTGTCGCGACGTTCTTTTCGAAAACGAAACTTCCATATTCGTCTATTCAGCAGATCGAGTTGGAAGTCCGGTTCTGAAGCCGCTCCCGGCTCCTTCGAAGTACAACGGGAGCATACCCTTGTCCAAGCAACCACCGCCACAACCAATTTTCCCCCACCCGCTGCTGGTGCCGCTTCTGAACCAGAGGGTACTCCTGAGGCTCTAAAGGCCACCTCACGACAATCGTCGGTGACTAACACTTCTGGGAACCAATCTAAATTTACGGAGAATCTGTAGTTCCGTTGCTGGCTCTTTAAAACGAACTTTCGTGTCATATATAAAACTATATTATGAATTATTTCAGCGCAGTGCGTCGAAATTTCTCTGCTTCATATTTTCTTTACATTTGTTTCTCTTCTTAGACATACCTTTGTTCCCGGCGTCTATTGTTTCCCCAGCACTCAATCGATATCCCTATGCTTTATATCAAAACTCAAAATTCAGAAGTTCAAAAGCTGGTAGAATCCTGGAGTCCTCACTGTTGTGTCTTTTGGTTAGTTCTTCTTGTTGGATTGCTACGACTCCCCCGTCATCAACATTCATGTTCGGACTTTGGCTTCCCTTCTGTCACTATTATTGCAAGACCTGGTGTTTTTTTTTATTTTTATTTTTTTTATTTTTTGGTTTTTGGTTTTTGGTTTTTTGTCTTCGGTCTTATGGGTGGCGACAGGAGTGTGAGTTGCCATGGCAACTGGGCTATCGTTTTGGGCGACCGTGTTGTTATGCCGGATAGGGAAAAACTCTTGTGTGTTGCCATTTTATTCTCAAAATGAGGAATGGGTCGATTGGGTGAGACTTAATGTTCTGCACTAACAAGGGCGCTTTGTTGTATCATAGTTTCTTCTTGATACTCGATTCTCGCTGCTGAAACAGGTTTTCAAATGCATTTGGCCTCGCATTTGTGGTGTAGTCTCTCTTGTTCATTAGTTATTGGAAAACGCGTGCAAGTTGAGCAGAAATGGTTAATACACCTTGATCTGTTACTTTTAAGGATGTCCCCAATGCAATGACAATCTATTCTTCAAGGAAGGACCAAGAACCCTGTGTCCAACTATCAGCAGCTAAGGCATTTGGTTATGGGTTAAGGCCATTGTCGCCTAAATCTTCAGTTATGTGCTGGCCTAACAGCCCCTAGACTCATGGCTAGCCTTATGGGCATAATATTCTCCTCGCCCAATTATTCCAATTTGGATCCAGGGTAATTTCAGTGCAGTAACTTTCTTTTTTCTTTTTTTTGGTGACCTTGTTGTTGAGTATTCCCCTCCTTCGGACGTTAAAGCATGATCAGATCAGCAACTGATAATTCTATCTCCTCTCCAGGGTAAAATAATGGCTCTATAACTATATATGTTGCGGACAGTTCCCGTCGGCTATTTGCTTCATATTGTTGAAGTTCTTAATGTTTGAGGGAAAACTTCAATTCTTGTATGTCCTGCGACGGCTCTGACTACACGATCACATTCTGTGAGTCGCCAAACTGCTTCTCCCTTGGCCTTTAATGACTCGTGCAATCTGGCTTTATAAGTACTCCACGTACTGTTCCTCCACATAAATGGCATGGAACGACATCCAATATGGCCAATGTCCAATTTTAGACCTTAAATTACTCTAATATGCCACACACCAGACTACCAACTAGCTCGGCCCCTGCTGTGTCACTTATTTATTCGCCCCAATACAAAGATGGAGGGACCCCTCGTTCCTGATAACCCTGCTATCCAACCAACCCATAAAGTCCTACATGGGAGAACAGAACTGTTACGCTAGAACCCCTCAGCACGGCACATTCCGATGATTTATTCTCCTGCCTTGGAGGAAGCGAAAACTCGAGAATATGGGACTACATGCCTGATGGCCCCTTCGCCCCGAAGAAAGAATTCGACAGTTTTATTTCAAAAAAAGCCGAGTCAGAGGACCCACTGTTCTTCAGCATCGTTGATCGCACTTCCAACGGCAATCGTGATAGTGGCAAGGTAACTGGATTCCTAAGCCTTCTCCGCATCGATGTCAAGAATCGTGTGGTGGAAATTGGCTTCGTTACCTTTTCACGCGAACTACAGCGTACCACACCAGCAACAGAAACCATGTACCTATTGCTTAAATGGGTGTTTGAAGAGTTAAATTTCCGCAGGTGTGAGTGGAAGTGTAATGATTTGAATGAACCGTCAAAACGGGCGGCGGAAAGGTTGGGGTTTGTGTTTGAGGGTTTGTTCAGACAGCATATGATTGTGAAGGGACGGAATCGGGATTCGTCATGGTTTTCTATTGTCGATAGGGAGTGGGAGGGAAAGGTTAGAGGAAGTTTTCAAGGGTGGCTGAGTGCTGACAATTTCGATTCGGAGGGGAGGCAGATCAAAGATCTTTCGAGTATTAGACAAGGATACTAAAGATTTCGGGATTATCCGAATGTTAAGCCACAGCATATTTGAGAGATAACTGGGTGGCTAACATGAAATCTGCATACATGCATGTATGTATGTATTAGTTAGCTTCTAGAGATCAGATTCTCTCTGGATTGGATAAGTTAGTTGCCCCTGAAGCCCGCTCCCCAGTCTTCTACAATGCCTGCTTGCTCTCATTTCTGGGTCAATTTGCTGCCACTCCTCCCTGCTTGTCGTGAAGCACGGACTGCTCTTCAAATGCACAGCAGTATATGCCTACACCGACAAGGATCCGAGGTATTGATGGGCCCGTCTTCTTCATATTTGACCTAAAAATTCCAGGGCTGGATTCACGATTCCCCAGTTAAAATATTTGGGAACTTTAATAGGCCTTCTTAAGACATCGATCTCAACGTTTGCATTCTGGGCTTCTGCATCATCTATTTGAGTCAGGCAAGCCGGCCCTTTCCCGGCATCTTTGATAATATCATATATCTGTAGCTACACGACTTCACCTGGCTCCCGACGAGCCCTGCGAAGCCTCAGATGGCCTCTCAAGCATTCTGCTGCGGACCAGAATCAACAAGATATGGATTATCCCGCCCTGCATGTCCTTTACGTCGAACGCTTGCAGTCGAGAGTATATACTACGTCCTCGACTGCCGGCCGATTGAGGGTTCCTTGTCCTTGCCCAATGGGATTTTCGATATTTTTGTATCTTTTGTTGGTGACTGTTGCAAATTATGCGATCATGATTTGTTAGATTATTGAGATATTTGAGCTACCGGTTCCATTTCCTCTCCCCAAGGGTTGACCTCCGGGCTCAGTGATTCCCAGCTCTGACACCACAAATCTCTCAGGAAGCTCGTTGGGAAAATGCTCAGAAAGGGTCAGGACATTCCATTGGCACAGGGGCAGAGTCAAATGAACCCTTTTCTACAAGGATATCTCGTCATACAACAGTGTAAGCTTTGTGAGAACGCCTGCTTGCGATGGGAGTTGTCCATATCCGTTATCACCCCTGCCCGTGGTAAATCTAACCTAGCTCAACTCCTCCAGTTCATGTTAAGAGAACATCAACATGAGAGTTGTCTGTTTCAGTTGGCTGATGAGCTCTCATGATGAACCTGTCCACTCAACACAATCAACTACTAAACACTATCACCGACAGATCCCTTGATCTTGATGACTGGTTGGAACAGTGTTTTCATTACAATAGACGAGGCGCAATGTTCATAACCTCACTTTTCATTCTGGAATGACCTGGTCAAGAATATCTCGCCTGGCGCTGGCCCTTGCGTCGCGTTATTTTCATCCTACGGTTCCTCAATGAGCTATCCATTCGGAGATCAACCTCCCAATATAAACACGCTCGACCCAGTTCAGCGAATATCTCCCCGGCGTACTGATCTAATCCAGATATTTGGTTATTTACACGTGAAGAATATAACGTAGTGCAGAGCGTTAGCCGGTATTATGGAGAGCATGCGCATAATTTCTTGATCGCCCAAAGAGCTCCAAGATTACAGTTATATGGGAAATCACTTGTGGACATCCAGCCGTCGTTAGATCATTACTTGATAATTTGGCTCTTTCTCATGTTCGTATATTTTGCCGTTTAATTACGTGCGCGTCGCTGATCAGTATTATCAGGTTTTTCGCGAGTACCGCAAACAATCTGCCAAGATAACTCTCAAATTACTTGGGGATATCTATCGGACGATACATTCCTTCTCAGCTGTACTGAAAGAAATAAAACCCATGGCCTTCACAGGAGACTGGTGGCAAATGATGTTCTTCAGGCATAACCATCTGTTGCCCAATTCCTTTGTGATGTCGTTGTAAGGATGGGGTCTGATGACAGTCCTGATTTGAATCCTGCGCTGGATATGTATTACCGAAAAGGATGGTTACAAGCTGAAATTTTAGAGGACCGGCCAATCTACATATTTCCAACTGGCACTCATTGTAAGTAAATCTTTGTCCCGATCATGAAAATGGTTTCATTAACTATGGTTGATTATCTAGATGTGTCGAACATATCTTAGCTACCAATACTCCACCTTCCTTTTCCATCGGTTTCCAGCGATAGCAACGATAGAGGTTTTCAGCTCTTCTGTTATTGAGAAATTTAAACTGAGTTGAAAGTAGAATACATATTTTTGAGATTTACAGCAGCCACACTACCCTGAGAAGCTAAATTACTGAATGAGTTTTATTGCACTCGCTACGAGCTTCTTAAGAAATAATTACAATAATTACATTTTGCTTCTAGATGAACTGGAATTAGAAAGCATATTTGTGCTGATTTTCTGGTTAAAGGAGTTTATAGATTAGTTGAAAATTCTTAGTGATTGTGAAAGTATTGACAATCATATCCCAAGATTTCAATCTAAAGACAGGTGTTTTCAATGAGTACAGATGCAGAAGATTCAAAAACACATTCTTCTATAGTTCTGAAAAACTCCGTCTTCTAAAAGGACAAGTAAGACTTTAATATATTCTCACTTCTCATTCTTGACAGAATTGAAACTCCAACTGGTCCATTTTCAAGTACAATCACTTATTGTTTTCTGAAGATTATGCAATATACAAGCTGTATAAACTGATGCTTAACATTGTTAGATACCCTGTTGTATTTCTGAAGGAATTTGTGAATGTGTCGAATAGTTTCTTATTTTTTAATGTATTTAGTATTTCTTATGTATATGCAACATATTTATCACTCATTGCAACTTATATATCACTCTGTATCAATACCTCAACACTTCATGAATTACTTTCTCATTTGTCATTCACTATATGACACTCTATCTCATATCAATGGGAAACTCTTACTCAAGATAGTACTATATGAGAGAATGTGATGACTTTCATTTAATACTCAATATTAATATCTTTATCACTGAAACAACAGAGGCTTCAATTCATAAATTACTTAACTAGCTACCTCTAAAACTACAATCAGTGGTTGTTGAATAGTCACAAAATTTCTATTCAACTCTCATCTATCTCAAATGATGGCAAATAATAGTACAAAATCAGCATAACTTCTGTTGCAAGATGCAAAACTTCCGTCTCACATATTATTTCTCATTCTTTCAAGGCATCTGCTTCACCAGAGCTGTCATTTCAAGTTGCCTCAGGTTTAACAGTTACTTGCTCTTTCATTATCCTTACTCATATCCCTGTTGACCTGGTGTCGATGGAAGTTGATTATTGAGATTTCAAAGCGTAACAATCAATTTGAACTTTGATGTGTTTCAAGATATCGTTTGTCTGAGCTTTGTTTTAGTTAACATTAGCTCTATTTTGCCACAATTAAAAAGTGAGAAAATATGGATTAATGTATCACACTCACTCAAGATTTTTTTCATTTTCTTTATATCATATGGTGTCAGATACGCAGTGGGTCATGCAAAGCCGTGAAACCGAATGTATTGTCTTGAAAATGGGGGTAAATGTTCCACAACGCTAATGGCACCTCACGGTTAGCAGTAGCACTAAAAATAAATTATTAGACGTCAAAAGATGACATCTCGAGACTTACAAGAAGCTGCTGAGCAAAGTGCTAAAATTTCCACAAACACGAGTCTCCAGCAGGAAACGTGAAGGTTTCCATAGTACATCAGGGTAGTGGACGAAGCGTCAGATTCTGGATTCAGAGCCTTTGTTGACCTCGTCCATCCACCAGTCTTTGATCAGCCTCGCCTCCGCTTCTCTGCAAGTTAGACCACAGGCTTGATATAGTTCCTGGGTTCTTGAAGAAGCTCACCGTCCAGTCTAGCCTCTTGTCTCTTCTCCTCCATCTTCTCCTCCGCAATGCGGTCGAAATAGCTACTATAAAGATGCCACAGTATTAGCTTTTGCTGTATTTGTAACACCGGTGTTAAGATGAGAGCTGATGAATGCTGAGAAAAGTGATCATTCAAAGTGGAAGGCAGGACCTGAAGAAAACGAGAGCAGAAACGTGGAAGGACTCTCTCGTACCTCAGCCTTTTGAATACATCTCTAATTTTCTCCTTCCGTATGAAAATTTTTTTAGCTAGATGGCATGAAGAATGTTGGGAAAGATATTCGGACTCCGCCATGTTGGCTTTCATTGGATATATTGTCCTCTGAAATCGAAACTAGAAAATGCTGAGCAAATCGTATCAGACTCATGTTGTCTATTAGATGAAGGGTGGATAGTGAAACTTGTTAGAATTAAATCGCAGTCAAATTCTAAGAGACAGTTATGAAGGTTTCAACAGGCAATATGGCGCTGCCGTTGAGAAGAGTAAATCTTTAGAGAATGACGTCATCTTAATAAAGTTTAAGCTTAAATGTCCCTATGCCCCACAGCTACGGGTAGACTAACTATGATTAGCATAGTCTGATCACAGACCCACTTCTGTTTTAACGTCATCGCAAAAGTTTGTTATTGATTCAAATATATTCCAGCCGCCAGAGCATCGCCATGATCGTGCTCTCACACCTTCTTGCTACAGTGGATAATTTGATTAGGAAAAAAGATATTCATTGGAATGCTTGCTTTAATATGGCATGTTATTCTTCGAGAGGAAGAATTTTACAGATATCTCCTTCGCTCTTTCTTACGCTATGTACAGTACGTACGTAGTGTTTCGATGACGAGAGTCAGAACGTAGCAGGCAGAAGATAGTAGTATTCGTAATAACTAGCTAATCTATATGATGACTAAAAGAAGAAGAGAAGAACAGTGAGAAAAATATGAAATATATATACACGTGTGCAGGCGTTCGTGAGTCATAAGTGAGTCATACGAGCGATACGGCCGTAGCGGTGGATCTGAGTCATACAAGCGATACGAGGCATACGAGCGATATGATGCTCGTGATAGTTCCTAAACAACTGCTACTTGGCGCTTCATGATGCAATCATGCGAATATTGCTTCCATCGACTAGGCTACCCAAAATACCACAAGTCAACCTACTCTCATAACTTCTATTACTTCCAAAAAACTATTTTCCTCAACGTAGGCGGGACACGAAGGCACAAATCAAAATATTCTACTTTCTTTAGTTATGGCTTTGTCCATACATCTACGAAACAACTATTCCCTTATAGTACGACTCCCATGGAGCTCAAATCTCTTTATAATCTCTGGGAGGGAAAGGATGACAAGCTCGATGCTCCGGTCAAGAGTGTCCGAGCCTTTTTGGGTCCGTAAATATCGGGAAACTATGGTGTTATTTGATTGCTATCACTCATTGTCTGCTTAAGCTACCTGGCAATACAAAATATGAAGACAGGAGACAGTTTTTCCCTGCAGCTGTATCCTCCACCAATTGCTCATTTCCCAATTTTCTGCCCAGGCAAATCTGCAAAGCGGATCAATTCCTTAACTCGTTCACATTAGCTGACTTTGAATTTGCGCCAAGGGTACCATAAACTACATCTACACTTGCTGACTTACGTGGAGTTTAATACGTGTGGTATCACCAGTGGAATATTATGTCTTCCTCCGAGCGTCATCTCAGCGTGTTCTGAAGATGTCTGCCCTAGTCAATATGCCTAGCGAGTGGGAGGGGTATAAGTTCACAAGGAAATGAACATGAGTGGGGTAAAGAGAAAGAACAAATCTCATCCGCGAGACGTGCGTGCTATACTTTGCCAAAAATACCCTGCGCAGTCGTCACTGTGGTCGCAATCACAATACAACCACCAACCAAACACATTAACTCGCTGAAGATGGATACTTCCAAAAATCTGTAATATTTGTCAAAAAGTGCGCCATTAACTGGAGGACCTATCGAGGCTTTAAGGGAGCTTAGGGCCATACCCATTCCCATGTAAGTACCGACATCCCGGGGGTCTTTAGAACACATGGTAAAGGCCGCAGAAATTTCGGATATTATCGTCCCTAAAGTGAATCCAAATACAACGGAGTACATTACTAATGCCGCAGTGCTTTTTGCCACGTTTAGGCAACACAAGACAATGCCAGTGCTTATGGCCCCGATCCCTAGTACGTCCAATCGACCGAATTTGTCCGCTAACAAACCGGGTATGATTTGTCCAAAAGCGGAGGAGCTGTTGACAATTGCTAACAGATAGGAGGCTAGATTTGTGTCCACTCCCCTTGTGACTGCATAAGACGGGATGAAGAGCGGTGTGAAAAAGCCAATGAACATGCAGAACATGGCGGCCACGAGAAGGATAAATTTGATGCCTTTAAAGGCCGCTCCAATGAAGAAGTCAGTTGCTCAAGGTGGGCGGCGAGCCTTAACTGTAACGCACGAGAAGGCCATAAGGGGCAACATGACAAACTTAATGATTCTCACTGACCATCCAAAGCCAAGGGAAGAATCGTTCAGCAACTTTGAAATTGCCATAGGGAATATGACGCCACCGATAGATGAGCCGGCCACCGTTAGGCCCAATGCCGTTGCTCGATTCTGGCCGAAATATTGGGATACCGTTGCCATCGCTGGTATCATAAAAAATGCGAAATTGATGCCCAATCAAAACACCCTGTGCCAGCATGAATTGCCAATACTCATAGCAAAAGCTAACTATCATGAAGAAAATATATAGAGAATTTCCGCAGGGCGAATGAGCTATTTTTATGTCCGATTGCGGGTTCTAATCGCGGTGGACGAGGGAGGCATACCCATGCACCGAAACGATCAAACAATGGGCCTACTATTACACCCATGGAGAACTGTAAAAATACTGACAAAAATCCAATCCAAGGCACGCCTGTATTCCTCCATCCGGTGATTCTGCTAAATCTATTCGGGTGTCTCCTTCATCGAATTTACTCGTAGATATTGGACTCTGCCCATTTTCCTTATTCAGCTCAACTTCTGCTTCTGTGCTTGTCATGGTTCTCTCAGGAATACGCGTGAGAGAGGGAAAAAAGGCTTTCCAAGCTTGGTGCGCCGCGCTGCGATCTGGTAAGACATCTTAGATAATGAAACGCTTTATATACGAAAATATGCTGGAATTAAATTATTATATTCCCCGCTCCCCGCCATGTATCTGCCCCTGAATTCGGTGAATTCGAGGTTCTAGCCAAAAACGTGTCAAATAAAGTTCAGCAAATAGCGAGGCATTATGGACCAAAAACGCAAATGCCAACCTCGTTCATAAGATTGACATTTCATAACCTTCAAACTCCTTAAGTTTCCTCTTTATAAAATTAAGAGTGCGAAAGGTAGGAGTCCATCGAAATATGGCATTGGGAAGTTCTCCCTGGTCACCCTGTGGTTGATAATATTCCGGCAAAAGGGGATAATCTGCGATCGTAGAGTGGCGAGCGAACTATGTCCGACACCGAACGTCAGCGGAGTAGGCCTCCAGTGTGCGTATATACCTGGTGAAGTCTATTGTGTTCCATCATAACAGCGAGAGTTGTATAGCTCAATGTACTCTTTGCAGGACACGCAGGATTCGGTGTAATCGAGAGTCTCCTTGAAGTAAAAACAAAGCTTGCATTTATGTGAATGATTCAGTACACGCTCCATGGAGAAATCTTGCTAGAGCTGAAGCACCACGCACATCGGTCGAGTCAGCATTTGACACAGAATCTTCAATATCCAATAGCGTTTCAAGAGGCCCAAGTTCATCCGTCATTGTCACTTCTGACTGGCTTGGAAGCCCCACCCACTTCCGCTTGTCAACCGTCTGAAGAGATGGAGCTCTTAAAAGCTAAGGTTAGACAATTTCAAGAACAGCTGTCTCAGGTAACTGAGAAGACTTCTGGTTTTCCTTCTTTGACCTCTATGTCGACCGCAAACATAGAAACAACATCCTCATCATTAGCTGGAACCCTGTCGGTTCATTGTGATAGCAGCATGGTTGGCGAAGCCCGGGCCATTAGTGGAAGTGTTTTCCGTAAAAATCATCTATTCGGCCAGAGCCTTTGGATCAACGGAGCTGAGCAGGTCAGTCACGAAGTAGATATCTCCAGACAAGTCATTTAATAGCAGCAATAGTTCCTTCGAGATGTTCTAGATTTCGTCGAGCCGCATATACAACATAGCTGCGAGGAATCCTCCAGCATGAAAAGGTGTAAGCGTTTAGCTAAGGTCATAGCTGATATTCTTGTCGCCTGTTATCTGAGGACAACAGAGACTGTCTATCGTATACTGCATGTCCCAACATTCAGAAAGGACTATGAAGCAGTGTGGGCGGCTGGATTAACGCCCGATACGGCATCCCTGGTCCAACTCAAGCTAGTTCTTGCAATCGGGGCTGCCACATACGATAAGTAGTTTTCGCTGCGCCCCTCGGCCGTTCGCTGGGTCCACGAGGCTCAAACTTGGATTTCAGAGCCTGAATTCAAGGCACGATTAAGCCTTCAATCTCTCCAGACCAGTGTCCGCTTTTAATTGCTCGACAAAAAGCGAGTGTAGGTGGGACACTAATCTGGATATCAGCAGGATCCCTACTCAGAACAGCAGTCTATACGGGGGGTTGCATAGAAATCCTGCAGCTTTGATACCGAGCCACCTGGTAATTTCAATGATGATCAACTAATGGTTGGGGATGCCGTGCCGGCGCCGGAAGATACATTTGCCCTTCGTGCGACATTTCCGATTCGGTTGATGATCACTGAGTTCTTGAATAATTTCGGATCCTGTGGTACCTATGAGGAAACACTTCGCCTTGGTGAATCTCTGAGGGCAGTAGTATATAATGAACTGTGCCAGAACCTCCAAAGACATATCTCAAGAGCAGGCCTTTCCCCCTCCCGATTTCAAACCCAGGTAGTAGATTTCATCATGATTCATTATATGTCGGCTCTCCACGTTCCGTTCTTCATTCCCGCACTGCACGAAACCACTTATACATTATCTCGGAAAGTAGTGATAGAAACGTCTCTTAAAATTTGGCGTGCAGTGTGGCCGTCCTCGCGACTCATACCTACCCTACCCCATGACAATGCTACACTGCGACTAGATGAAGACGACCTGGTACGACTCACGATATCTGGATCTGAATTCTTTGGCGCTGCCACTATGCAGGCTGGCCTTATGGCGGCAACAGAACTCATGTCCCAGCTGCAAGGGGCAAGTGGCCTGAGTCCAGCACCTTTGCGGTCCGACCTTCTTGCTGCAATAAACATGGTCTTCAAGGTGCATTGAGGCGGAAGAGACTAACATCAAAGGACATGTGCTTCTCTGTTTAGTAGCTGCTCGGATTGATGGACACATCAAGGGACTAAGGAAGAATTAATTCCCAGTAATACTGGTTAGTGCAGGGGAGGAAGCCACAGAAATATGTTTACGAATATTAGAAGAAAAGGCAAGCCACGGCGAGATCCGGGGAGGTTGCAGACCAAACGGGATTAAATACACCCGAGGGAATCGAAGATTGGGATACTATGGTAGGTTGGTTTGCCATTTTTCTCCGATTTTCCGTGTCTCTAATGTATAATTAGATGTCAGTGAGCCAGTGTAGCTTTGGCAGCGAAGAGTCTTGCAACATGGCTATTCTATATTGTACCCAGGTGATATGAGACATTGATGCCCTTGTACTTTCGCCGCCTTATAAACGGAGCATCAAATAACAGAATGAAAACATATTGATTACAGATTGAATTCAGTTTTGAGAGTACCAAGAAATAAAACTCATTGCCAAAGGTCGAAAACGGAGTTAAAATTAGCTTGTTATCTTTCAGAGTGAGAATACATCCATCAAAAACAAGAGGAATGGGAATTATGATCTACAGGCAAGAAAAAAAAATTAAAATATGACAAGATGGAAGAATATAATTGGGAATCTAGATGAATAATGAAGTTTCACAAATCTGGCAAGGTTAAACAAACGAATCGGGAGAGAAAAAAAGGGTCGAGAAAATATGTAAAACGGGAATAGGGACTCCACTAATACGCCACAACAATTCAAAAATGTGAATAGTAAATAATACAAAATAATATAACAAAGGTAAACAGCGGTATTATGAAGAGAATTTATTTCTAGGGAATATAGACAAATCAAATGAGATGAGAAGTAAAATGGGGGAAATAGAAAAGCGGCTCCAGCATACGAAATCACAATTTCAGCGGAGGCCAAATTGGTGATTTATTACAATAGGACCGCATAAGAGGAAGGTGGAAAGAGTGACAAAATGTAGAAGGCAATAAAGTGGGTATGATAAATTAATATATTCCAAAGAAAAAAAGAAAAGGAAAAGGAAGAGGAAGAAGAAGAAGAAGAAGAAGAAGAAGAAGAAGAAGAAGAAGAAAACTCCAAGAAAGAACAAAAATTAAATACTACCAGTTTGAAGACCAAGAAATACTTAGTAGGCAAGCAATTGTCCAGGAGAAATACGTGGCTTTTCTCCTACGCCTGTCACTCTAGGAGTGGGGGACTATCCCGTTAATCCCTAGAGGTTGAGGTTTCCGATGACATGAAATACGTATATGTAACAGACCAAATCTGAGTCATTCGCCCGCAACGGTTGCCTTCGAGTGCGAAAGACTAGGGGATTCTGATGTAGTCGGGTCATCCGCAACGCGAGAAGACTCATCAGGTGCTGCGGAGGGCGAGGCGTCATCGCTATGGGCAGGGTTTGGAGACTCGGGTTTCTCATCTAGCGACAAGGAACGTGGAGGATGTGGTGTTTCTGGCCCAACTGGCTGTCCTGCGGGGTGGAACGTTGGGCATGCCGGCTCTTGAATATTATTGTCGGGAAGTAGCTGTGGCTCTTCGAGAGACTGTCCACTTGGGGTTCGTGTCCGTGCGAAATCAAGCGATTCCCTTGGATCTAAATCGGACGGGGAGATTGGGCCCGGGTCAGTGTTAATAGTAGGGGTATCATCGGTGAAACTTCCAGCATCGCGGAAGATCAGCGCTGTCTCGTCGCAGGTACTGAAGGCATCCACGTCCTCTATATCTTCATCGTCACAATCTAACACAACTTCGTCCTCTTCCTCCATAATAATTTGGCTTTTTCTTGCTCCTGATCCTGCGGCTCCAGCTCCAGAGCTCGCACCGATCACGCCTTCCCTCGACTTTGCCAACCCCGGTGTTCCGGGACCGCTTGAGAGCGGAAAGGCAGAAGTAGCAACAAAAGGGCCTTTGAACGGTGATCTTTTTCGGCGGGCGAAAACAAGACCTGATGGTGGCGAGGAAAGGAGGCAACTGGGAGCGGCTTCGTTGTAGGCATTGTAGATTGCTCCATTATGGTGACCCGGGTGGGGAACAGATGAAGGTCCAGCACCTCGGACAATTCGGATATTACTTGGGAAGGGGGTGCTGGAGCTTGGAGCGGCGGCTAAAACTTTAACGGAGGAGTGGGGGGATCGAGTGACTGTTTGTTTTGCAGTGGCTGCCGGTGTTGATGCTGTATTAATACTGTTAGAGGAGATGGAAGATGTTTTCGAGTGCGAATGAGCGTGATGAATACTCCGGATTGATGAGACGGACGATGAAGTGGACTTTCGCCCATGTAAACCAGATAAACGACGGTACGAGTTGCGAGGGGTGAGAGGCGAAGGCGATAAGGAATTGCGGTGATGTGACACATTTGTGGTGCTAATTGGTTGGGGTTGATGAGAAAGGGAGCCTGAACGACCAGCGCTACGATAAGATGCATTGCTGGGCGTAAGGCTACTTGCTGTAGATGAGCGTTTCACCCGCACTGGGGTTTGTTGGGCGCCGTTAAAGGTGTCATTTGTAGGGTGGGCTTGTTTGGTCGCTGGCTCCTTATTTTTAGGCGGAATGGACTTGTCTGTAAGAAACTTGAGCGACGGTGCGTGAGAAAACGCCTTTGAATGTGGTGACTTGGCACGCTTTGTTGATTCAATCAACCAGTGTTTGATCGATGCAAGCTGGCTGATGATGGGATGCTGTCTACGCCGTGTGCCATGCCGTCTCAAAATACCATGGGGATGTGACAAATCAGGCTGAGATGCACTGAGGTGAAGTGTGCTTGCACGGGACCTTCGATTCTCTTCTTTTGGTGGGGGAGTCGGTCGGTGGCGGGAGGAACTAGAAGATCGGACTAACGAATCCTTCTCTATTGGTGGGGGCGGGAGAATAGAGGCAGGGGACGAGGCAATGGCGGTTTCCGGAAGCTTAGGAAGGTCCGGAACTACGATTTGAGCTGCATATGTGATATTATCAATGACTATTCAGATAATGACAGGACAGACGGCAAGTAACGTACACTCACGCGTTGTGATGCTTCTCCTATCTCTCCTTCCCCTGCTTCTCAGTGGCTCCGTCGAGTGGCCTTCCTCCTCATCAACCTCGACAAGAGCAGCGGATATCCGTTCAAGGCGGCTACTGGCTGCGCTCAGTCGGCGTAAATTCTTGGATTCAACCTCCCTCTCTCGACGTTTTCGTTCTCTTCTCTTCTCCTTCCGTTCCTCCTTCTCGATTAAAAGTGCCCACCAGCCTGCCAGGGTATCACAACGCTGCGCAAGAACGCTCTCTATGACCTGATCTATGTTGACACCAGCGCTCCTCATCCTCTCAAGCGTTGTCTTCTCCAGAGGCGTCGAGAATGGGGGAGGTCGTGCTAATTTCAGAATGGCCTGTTGCTGTGGGGCATGTTCTGCGAGAAATGTATGATTCAACACCTCGCACAATGTGGGCCGGAGAAGTGGACGTTTCGATAGTAACTGACTGATCAGCGATTTTGCATCCTCGGGAAACCGATCATTATACGCGGGTTCTCCCGTTAAAATCCGGGTTTTCGTAACCTGGTCATCATCGTCATCGTAGGGCAGTTCCCCAGCAATAAGCGCGAAAAGAATGATGCCCAAACTCCATACGTCAACCTTTTCACCAGCATACTTTTCGCCTTTGAGCATTTCAGGTGCGCTGTAACAGACGGTCCCGCAAAATGTCTGTAGATAACTAGCCTTTCCCTCATACTCCCTGGTGAAACCGAAGTCACATAACTTGACATTCTCGTGCTTATCAAGCAGAATGTTTTCCAGTTTCAGATCGCGATGTACACAAGACTTGCTGTGGACATAACTAACAGCCCCGACCAGCTGGGCGAATATGCGCTGGACCTTCTCAAGAGGCATCGGCCCATTGCGAATAAGATAGTTGTACAATTCATCACCAGGGCAGTACTCCAAAGCCAGCCAAACAAATTTCTCCGTCACGATAACCTCGTACAGTCGAGCAATATGGGGATGAATGAATTGGCGATGATGGTGGATCTCTCGCGCAAGGTTTGCGTCTTCTCGATTTGATGACTTCAGCACGACCTACATCGTTTGAACCATCTCATATATTAGTTTCTCAAAACCCGAATATTGCCCCTCAGGGGATAGACGTAATATTTGCAGTACCTTGGAGCCATTAGTAAGTTTGTGAGTCGCGAGATAGACCTTTCCAAAGGACCCTTTGCCTATTAGCTTCCCGAGGTTGTAGTTTCCGACATTCCGTATATCCTTCGAGGAGAATTCTCTATAAAGCCGAACAGTACAAAGTCAATATAAATCCGTGTTTCGTGGAATTTAGAGATATGTGACTCCAAAAACGGTTTACACGGGACAAGGCGTAAAGGAGGAAACCCACTCTAGTAACTCTTGGTAAGAATGGACAAGCTATGCGACACCGGGAAAGGATGTCAGTCAAACCATGATTCCAAAACAGGCAGAATAACATAACCATAAAAATCAATCCAAGCACCACGCACCTTATCCTTATGAAGCTGGGACTCAAGCTTCGACTTGTTGGCCGGCATGTGTGAAGTATGGGCGCGAGAAATATCTGAAGCTGCCCCTCGCGTTCCTCTCCTCCTTGCTTGCGGATGGCCAAGCTACCGCAGGTCTGCCATGTAATAACAGGGATCATATATTAGTCCTTAAGGTGGTGTACAACGATAGAGGGCATCAACGGATGGATTTGCGGCGTGATAGAGCTGCGATGGTTGTCGGTGGTGGTTGATAAGGCCGAAGTTTGGAGTTTGACGTAGTCGCGGGCGGATAAATTCGACTGAAACGCGCAAGGTCAGCCCTGGACCCTGAGAAAAAATAGGCCCCTACAACCACTACGACAAATGAGCAATGTAAAGTATGCCCATACTCCAACGAAGCCACTTATTCAATACAAATATTTGATATTCATCTCTCTTAGCTAGTAAGATTGAGGTTTCTCAGGCAGATATACTAAGCTAGCTGGCGAGGTTTCTTGGCTCTGGAATAATAGATATGGCTTCGGCGTGAGTTTTGACTCCCGATCTACAACTGTGAAGACATTAAAGAATGTGTACTTATACAAGTATTTAAGTGGATTGAACATGTGGCTGTAGCTTCCCATAGGCATACAACTCTACTTGTTGGGGACCCAACACAACCACGCATCTATCATTGACCGATTGGAAGATGGAAAGATTAAAATTGTAAACTGGGTTTTGCCAACAAAGCAGATATAACTAGAAATTCACCTACCGTGAGAACAGGGGAAACTGAGAGGCTGCTATTTCGAACTCTCAGCTGCTTCGTACAAGGCAGTGATATCAGCAGCGGCTATCACAGATTCCAGCGCCCATCATCATGAGTTCAGGATTTCTAGGAAGCGAAAAGAGCAGCCCTATATTTTCAACCGGGACATCCTCATACAAAGGGAAAGGCTAAAATATACGGCGTTCTTGAAGCTAAAGGTCTCAAACTTTGACAAACCGTGGATACATGCCTGTGGTACAGTGGTTGAATGGAGGTTGAATGGCGGTTGAATGGTGGGTTTTTAATGGATGGCTGATTGCACCATCATCCATTATTCATTGCACCCTTGCTCAGGTTGGTTCCAAGCTTTGCCGCATTTATCACATGGACCCTGATAGACTTCAGGACCCTGAGAAATCTCCGAGATGCCTTGGGAACAGTTCGCTTCCTGCCATTCAAAAGATAGTTAGTTTTCCTGGTATTTTTTTCTGGAGGAAACCTGTTCAGGGAGTTGAGCAGTCCCAGATCCCATCATATTTGTCACCCAGAATGAAGAAAAGAATATGTGAAACAGACTCAACATGTTTCTTATCAGGATCACCAAGAAGCAAAGAGCTAATATTTAGTTGCTGTGCCGTAGCTTTCTCTGCAACAGATTATTGTTTCGTGATATTCAGTTACATCACTAAATATCAAAGTGAAGATTGTGATTTTGATGTACTTAAGAGCCATATGAACAGGCTTCATTTTATGCAATAGAAAGGGGTGTTTGTGTCAGCTACTTACAGTGCATTGCTTGGTTGCTTAATTGCTCAGTTGCATTCATCATTGAAACCAGAAATGCATAATCACTTAGAAGTAGAAGTGATCAGTGTGTTAGAAAACAAAAAAAGGAACACAGTATGCATCATTCAATGAAAAATGTATGCATAATATATCTCAGAAAGAGAAGTGTACATGAAACTATCACTAGACATAAAATAGCCAAGCTTCTCTGACACTATGAGTCAATTTAGAGTGAAAACATTCAACATCCTTTTAAACATTATATCAACTCAACTTGAATTCAATAAACAGAACAAGAGTACCATACACCAAGACCGCAAAGGGCATGCCAATGGCTCCATATTAAGCGGACAATCCTCTCATTCGTTACTCTTCAGTTAATCAAATTTAAAGGACTGCCAACAGCCCAAGACCCGCACCAATTAACGCAGCTTGCCCTCCGAGCTTGTTAGCCGCACCGGTAGGATTTGTAAGGGGCTCTGTTGCGGTGGCTTCGGAGTCACCTGGCAGAGTGAACGATGGGAGAGTCGGGGTGGGGAGGCTGAAAGTATCAGAAGTAGTGGACGAGCTGGAGGAGTCATCGTCGTCATCCCCAGGTGGAGTTGTCGGGCTCGTGGTGGGAGGAGCGGTCAGACTTTCAGTAGCATTGCAATCTGCGAGAGAGCTGCCCTCGGGACAACAACCGGAATCTGTACAGAAGGTCCCCTTGGGGCAATATTCTGTCCAGCGCAAACGGTACGTTAGTTTTGGGAATTCAGCGCCCGATGCTGGAGATGGAGAGAAGGTTTATTGTGCGGGGATGCATATGCTTACTTCCGTTTGTGCAGCATGATTCGCCTACGGTAGGGTTGTAACAATGAGGGAAACTTCCGCATTCCTCATAGCCTTCGCCACAAGACTTCACGCAGCTATATGGTCGCCTGATGGGCTTGCAGAGGTTCAATTGTCGGCTCTGCAGCTTTTGAAGAGCCATGGCGGCCATGTTGTGGCTGGGCTGCACAAGAGCTGCAGAAACAGCGCCAGCAAAGAGCACAATGGATGAGATATGCATTTTTAATTGTGGTATGAACTAAGAACGAGAGTGAATGGGTATCAATATTAAATTATGTATATCAAAGGAGCGAAAGAGCGACTGTTAAAGAGACTGCAAGAAGGGAGCGAAAGGGGTCCGGCGGAGATTTAATTCTCAGGAAACAAACTTGGAAAGGGAGTAATAAATCTATCAAGCAAAGGAGAGCGGCTGAGTCTCATATTTAAGGATCTGGACGGACGGACATGCTAACTTTCATTCCAAACACGCCATTAAGAGCCTCACTCCCTTTGCCCTTCCATTGGGGGCTGTATATCTCACTGCAATTCGGTGGGAAATCACAGAGATGGACATACGGCGAGGATTCAATACGAGGGATCCAGATTTCAATCTGTGAAAAACAGGACGGCCCGCCGATCCGCCGAGACAGAAAGGGACATCATGACAATATGTCGGGCCCATCCGCAGGGGGGAACAGCCAGTCCCAGGCCATGATATACGAGGGCCCATTTTGAAATGAACCATGTTAAGCTGGATGCTGAAAAAATACAGCATAATCTTTGAACTTGAAATTGAAAACGTGAGGTCACAATCATTTTTGTTCCTCATCTGTCTACCAAGGAATGAAGGGTCGACTTCCCATTGCGACCGTAATGCCTTCGAAATCTGAAGAGCTTTGTTCTTCATCTTATTTGAAGGGTTCTCGCATAATGTCACATTTGGTGCGAGCCTCAAGCGCCTCAAAATTCAAAACTTGACAGCACATCCCATTTAGGGAAAGGGGTGAACAAAGTCCAAAGGTCGTAAATCCAATCACCGACGATCAAGTGATAGTCGATGCCAATCCTTCAGCCTGGCTTGTCTTAGCGCAAACCCAAGTTGATCATCCAGTTGCTTGCTGTCTGGAGAATCAGTGGATGGGGGATATTCGATTCAAGACACATCCATCAAGGCAGGTTTATTTGCAATCAAAATGTTGCTCATATGTTGTTAAATAAATATTCCGTAAATATCCAACAGCTGGTGCGGTTATGCAAAACAAACACCCTTAAGACTAGACTGCACAAGCCAAGCAAAATCAAAGCACAATTGATAATACCGTATCCAAACTAAGCCACAAGCTAAAAGCAGGAAACAAACAGTTTAAAATAAATAAATAAATAAATAAATAATAAAAAGAAAAAACCATTTTCATTAGTTCAGTCCCAAGGTTAGTTAGGGGATAAAGTTACCACTCAAGGCTTGGCGGCGGCTAACCAGCCAAGTGAAAACCCCGTCCCCAAAACACAACGACGACAAACGATATAGAACACAAGGGGTGATGTTATGTTCGGGGGAGACCTCCCCAATCAAATGCGTCTTTCTCTCTGGGATCATTGTGGGGATTCAAACGACCATGTTTCCCGCAAGTGCTTCAGACGTTTTGTTGATCAAACCATGCGATGGCTGTAGGAGAAGCAATTGAAGAACAGAGTTTGTCACGGTGTCACGAAAGGCATTACTATCCCGCCAAAATCGGCGATGCGTTTAAAGACCACCAGCTCCTGGTTATTGCAAAGCTTGGATATGGCGCGTATTCTACTGTCTGACTTGCATGGGATCAGATGTTCGAAAATCCCATCTGCTCCTGAGAAAGATTGTCAGGAATACTAATATTCACCCACTCTCTGGCAAAGCAGTGCCCTTAACTCAAAGTGTGCGTTAGCCATTGCCGAATCTTCCCCAATTCTTAACGAGACTAATACGCTTGCGGCGATTAAAGAGATTTGCTGACACGGATCAACACAACCTCCCGGCAGATGGGCTTTAGGCGTCTTGCAGACGATATCTTTGAAATCGATAGAGCTTCCCTCATGGCCGACACTACTGCATCTTCTCAAAACCCCATGGCCAGAGTATTCGTGTGTTACAGGAGACATTTCCAAATTCCATCCTGCCCAAGCTTCTTGTGAAATCCATCATACACGCTTGTGGTTTTCCTCCAACTTGTTTCCTTCGAGCTGCGGTGTCATCCATGTTAGTAGGTTGAAACGAGATGGCGAAACCTTTTGCATCTACCCACTACCATACTTGGAGCAGACATGTCACCTCAGAATGTTCTGATGCAGCTCGAGGATGATAACAGCCTCAAGGACATCGAGGACCAAGAGCCGCGAGATCCTAGTGTCCCTATCATCACGACTGATGGAGCGGCTCCCATGTACAGGTCTCGGGAAACTAAGCTGGGGTTTTCAGGCCTCCCAGTTACCCTGCTCATCAAAATATCTCCAACGGTGGAAGACTCGGATATCCAATATATTTTGGGCCAGTGCCAACGGAAGCGCATATTGACTATTAACCAGATCAATGGGGTCAAATAAATGCTTCCCTTCCGTAAACTTAAGTGTGTGATTGTTTTGGCCTTGAGTTAGACATACTATTACTGGGTGTACGTGATTCATGTCTACTAATATTTACCTTTCTACTAGTATTTACCATGACACCAATAGACCACTCAACAGGATATTCCCAGGGAAGGCTCCAAGTAAGTCAGACATCCACCAATCCCGTTTAGTCTGCCCTTCTACCAGTCGCATTTGCCCGAAATCAGGAAGGACTGGAAAGTCTGCCTTCATTTTTAGGCTACATGAAAGAAGCTTATCCAAGTCTGCACATAGGCACGCGACAGGGCGTCCGAACCCCACATCCCCAAAACCTCTTTCGAGGACTTCGTCTCCACAATCCCAGGCGAGGAAAAAGACCAGTTTCTCAAGTTCATACAGAAGATACTAACTTGGGATCTGGAAGTGAGGCCCAACTGTACAAGCTCATCCAAGATGAGTGGATGATGAAGCCTGCTTCAGAAGAAGATATGGTGTGTTTGAGGAACCAAATCGGTGTATGTAACATGGATGACTGTGGATAGTATACGTACCGCTTCCAAGTTTTCGCAGAGTCTATTTGGGATTGTGTTCTAGTAGCATGGATGCCTTAGTTGCCGCAGATGAATGCAGGAGGCTACATATTAGTAGGTAATTGCCATTTCCCACTATCTGCATTATTATCAAACCAAGAAATCTACATAGGAATATTTCTATGTAAGTATGAATTGAGGGTACAACAAATCCAAGCATCCAAGTACTTCCCGCGATATTGTTTCCCCAGCCTCTTCTGTGACAAGGTTCAAATTGACAAGGGCTCAAGATGTGGCAGCAAATAAAAATAAAAAATAAAAAAAGGGGCAACTAGAGACTGCAGGAGGGATTTTATAAACGCTGCTTCAATGAAAACGTCCAAACTCAAACATACAGACAACGTGCTATTCAGTCAAACCATCTCAAATTGCTCAATCCTGCAACATCTTCTCATTTGAACAGCCGTTCTAGCTATCTTTGAAGCGCCTAGTGATTTTCAATGATCTCGATCCCTTCTACGGTCAGATAGGTTTTGTCAGGCAGGCGGAGCAGAATAGAGTTGATCCAGGCGGCTGTCAGTTGAAATTCAGTTAATTTAATCAATCCTCCATAATTTGCTCCATTTCCCATTCTTGTTGACGTTCAGCAAGCCTCCAAATTTATTACACTTTTGCTCAACCAGATAACTTCAGTCGCAAGTTCAGCAAGGAAGGCCTTTCAAAGCCAAACTTGTTACAAGATATTTAAGATGATATCAGGAAATAAAAAGGTAAAAGGAGAAAACAATGATCCAAAGGCAAACACCACACACCTTAACAGATTCGATTTCGAACCCTGATTACACCCAGCAAGCAATTGATCGGCATGTGGAACATACTGACCAACCATAGCGTCACCGAACTGAAGTAAAAGCCCTCGGATCGAAATGGTACCTGCATAAAAATTTGACAATCAGGTTTCTTGCATGGCAAGACATTTCCGGAAGATAGTTGTGAATCGAAAACTGTGATGATCAGGTAATTCACCCAGCGCATAATATAGGAGATAGAAATCATGAATATTTCACCCAGGGCTCACCGCGCACCCAAGGGTGTGTTTAAGAGAACAAAGAGCCTCGCCACGTGGTTAGTTCACGCATCGCGCCTCTCAGGCTAGGATCATTTAGAATGATTTTCCATCACTACATTCATTCATGCCACCCGACAATCAGAGAACCCAAGGGTTTATTCCAGGATAAATGGAGAAAACACTAGCGATCATGGGTGTTGTCTTTTATATGAAGAGTCAAGATTCGGGTCCTTGCCTCCCCCATCTGGTCGAGGGGTAATATTTCCAGCCCCAACCCTGAAATGCTGTCCTGAAGTAACGATAATTCTAGCACGTCTATGAGTGCAGTTAAAGACTTGAAAACAAAGTTCTAGCGACTTAACAACAAAGTTCCTTTCCCCATTTCCTACGATTGTGATTTAGAACCTGTCCACCAGGGCAGAGACTCCAAATGGTGGCGCGCTCGTTTGCTAGTACAGAACGTTGGATCAACAGTGGCAATGCCGGCTTCGCCAAAGAGGCCAAAACTCGCCAACCCAAGGTATGAGTGGAGGAGATCTATACAGGCATCAATCATTAAACTTCACGACCAACTGAAAAGGCTGAAATCTTTGGGGAAGGGAATAAGGAACCCACCTGGTGGGTCACCGGCACATTTTGCAAAGCCACCTATTAGGTGCTGCGTTTTCTCGAGCAGATAGCGACGGTTTGGGTCTACATTTACTACGTTGAGACGATCCAATATCTAAAGAACAGAGATCAGTCTCTTGTGAACATCATTTCTTCATAAGAGCGGGGTGGGCATTTACACTTAGTGTACCTGTTACCCAGAAGGAGTAACATGTGTCGACAAGTTTGTTTGATCTACCATTAAATCCAGCCCAGAGGAGATCTTCCTCTGGCCGTTCCGCCGCCGTGGATAGAACTGGTAGGGAGGATATTTTCTCATCAATCGATCGGCAATCGGATTCTTTTAACTCGTCGAAGTTGAGTCTCTCTCGCTCTCTCCCCCTCTCATCTTCATTATCGTTTTCGTCATTCTCTTTGAATTCCGTTCTCTGTCGCCAGGCCAGCCAGCGAATTAAATTCTCGAAGTTTGCCGTTCCGGGGACAACAACGGGGACTGCATGGGGGGCAGAAGGAGGTGTGCATCCGAGAAATGACAGCGACGCAAGGGCACAGTACGTTAAGCCAGCTACTACAATGTAAGCTGGGAGACCGATTATCATACTGGTAGAGCTAAACATGCGTACCATGCGACTCGTTCAACGGTGACACTGAAAACCCCCCATCAAATGACTTTTATGTCCATTTCTGTTAGCTATTCCGTTCTATACATTCTTGTATAATACTCACTGTTACTTACCTGACAGGCCTCAATATGAGAGATCAGACTGTTTACATCGATATCTTCAATATCTCTAAGATAATCCGCATCTTGTCCCCGTAGTATATAGCGTACACCAGCTGCACAGCAGCAAAATCTCAAATCACTGCTTCCTTCAATTTTTCCTTCAGGTGCTAATACTTCTCCAAAACTCCCATCTTCGCGCTGCATACTGCATAGCCACCGTAGACATTCTCTCCGTTTGACACGACTCAGGTCATCACCCAATAAAATTAGGTTCATGAGCGCAAAGAACGTGGCGGGCACATTTGCTGGGTCCCAGCATTCATTAGAAGGGTTCCTCTTCGAATCTCCAAATATCGTCCCTGGAAATCCCCGAAAGCCACCAGACGGAACCTGGCAATGGTATATCCAATCGATATAGCCTTTGCGCTCTGATGGCTGGAGGTTGTCGTCCAAGGAGCCAAGGAGATCAAGCCCAGCAATCGTGAAAAAAGCCAAGGTCATTCGACTTGAGTCAGTGGAGGTATACTGATGTGGGAGAAAAGTTTTGAGGCAACGAAGAAAGTATTTGACTTGGCGATCCTTCCGGAGCACAGCGGATTCAGCGGGGTTTGTCATGGCTGTGATGAGGGTTAAACGGCCTCGACAAAGAAATGTCAGATCTAAACGCCTTGTCACGAAAAGATGGTGTATAAAATCACGACAACTCTATCAGCAAAGCATTGAATATCGCCCATGCCACAAGATATCCTATTTCGAAACATAAATCACAAACAGCAAAGACGAACATATGCCATCAGATTTCAAGTAAAGGAATAGGAAAATGTTGGTAGGGTGGGGTTCATTAACTAGTTTGTTAGTTAACTAGTTAGTTAGGGAACATGTTGGAGGATTCCCGGGCTACCCGAGGTCACGTGCACCTATACATATTTATTAGTTGTAGCTAGCTCGGTGAGAGTCCCACAATGCAACAGGGTTGATATCGGTCCTCTAAAGAGAACAATCGGACATGACATAACACATTAGTCAGCATCAATCAGTCAGCAGTCCCTATCTCAAAGAATCAAAACTGCGGCTATTCAAATTCGAAGACCATATCCAAACACAACACGGAGTGAGCGACGTGGTGCTTGAGCTCCCTCCAGGTACTCAAGGATACTGCGGGAATTTAGCTCTTCCAAAGGGCTACGGGCTCATCATGGGCCGGTTGTCGTCGAAAAGCTACATCAAGCTGCATGCTCTCTTCCAGTTTGCCCTGGCTGTTTACCTCACCAACTGCCAGGAAATTATCGCAGACTGGGACCTGGAATACAACGTCAACAATGTTATCCGGATCGTAAGTTAGTCCTCAACCCGACATGATCACATTCACCGATCCCTTTCACTTCAATCCGCCTCAATTAAACTTTCACACTCGTTCTCCGATCCTCTCCGCTTACATCTCCGGATGTCTCAGGATGCGACACCGACATTCACACGCCCGCACTCTCCGCTCGCCTACTGTGGTGTCATCCTATTAACATTCGCCCTCTTCGACCTAATCCTAGCCATCAAACTCCCCTTAATAAATCAAATGATTTCGATAATAAGCCGTCTCTTCGATTCCAATGGAAATTCCCCCACCATGTCCGCAGCGGCTAACAAGATGATCCGGGTCTTCACCTCCCTCTTTACGCACATATGCATCCTCCTCGCCATAACCAGATGCCTTGTCTTTTCTATCATATCAATACGAATCTACGCTTCTGCCCCTGAGGTCTGGATGCCGGCTACCGCTGCAGGAATGCAAGATGCTGCGGCGTTGGATGCAAAAGTCAACCATCTGAAAAATAAAGTGGTGCTGGGATATGCAATGACGGAAATGATGTTCTCCGCTTCGGTGGGTGATAGATATGCGCTGCTCTGGATTGCCAATATTTCCATCTAACTCACTTTGCTAAATTTCTTTGCTCCACTCCAGACACTTCTCTCACTCAAAGACGAACGTCGACGGACAGACTCTTCACTATTTGCTCCACCCCTACTATCGAGGGCTTCACGATAATATATGGTATCCATGCGCTGGTGATAAATTCATCTGTGTACCATAATGTTCTCAATTTGGCTGAAGAAGTGAAGTGATGGAATTTTCTAGCCTGCAGCGTGGAACTTTCTCCTATACCATATCATTCACTCACCTTGAAGCTAGAGCTTAGGTACAGTACACAAATAAGTCTTAAACAAAAGACTTAATGATTCTTTTTGCCGGAGATTCTTTTTCCCCTTTGATTTTCGTTATACAATTGGTTAAAGGAGGGCAAGAAACAATACGTCTAGCAAGATGAGGTGTGGAATAGATTTCTTTGATTTATTGTTTAGGCGTCGCTTTGAGCTTTCCATAACCATATTGTCGTTCGCTTTTTGTTCGCTTTTTGTTCATATCTCATATTCTTACATACCCTTCTTAGCCTTCCGTCGATTATATTTTTATCTTTATTGGCTTCGTTTCTCTTCTTTTCTTTTCCAATATCCAATGACCAAGAGGGACGATGCTCGGGACAAAGAATGGAGAGGCCCACATTGTAAACCAGCGCCTGCAGCAGTAGAACAACTTGGCTCTAAGCAGGGAATTCCAATCTAGGCCACCAGCACGATCTCCCCTCCCCAGAGCAGACCGTCTTCGTGATCAAACCAACAGTGAAGACGAAGACTGCTCTCTGGAATTACCTCAACTTACCACGGAATTCCCAGGCATATGTCAGTGCAGTTGCCTCCCCGACACCGCATTCTATATTCCATTATAATTAACATACGCAAGATGCATACAACAGTCGAGCGTTCATCCATAAGGAACCATAGATCGGTATCCACCGAATTTGGAGACGGGACGGCATTCCCGAGGTCGATCTCCGCAATAGCCACTAACCCTAAGCTTATGACCTGACAGCAGCCAATCACATCCTTGTTATCTTGGGTTATGTCTCCATAGTATGTAGCTCTGATGGGGAAGCGCTTGGAGTGGGGTAACTCCACCCGATGGCGAAATACCAAATCCTGTGAGGGCGCATCTCCTTTCTCATCAAGGCAACATGACGAACATTCAAAATATATATGTTACATCTCCACGGCTTACCCATTTCAATAAATATTCCACTGTTCTAGCTTCGTAGACGTCCCCTGTACCGCCAACGCATAATAATCACAAAATTTGATTTGACCAAGTTAATTACCCCTTAGCTCTCTAGGGATATGAATTCCCCATACCTACATTCCTCCCTAGGTTCAGGCCAGTTAGCGCCGGACACTGTTCATAACCACGCTCGACTGACTTTAAAGCGCCAGAATGAATTGTCTCCGCTGTTGCTAATGCCTGTATTGTTAAATAACATGTTGTAAATAACATTTACAATATCCTCAAATATGTCACATTCAAAACAAGATGAACAAAACCAGATCCTAGAACCATTACTTGACTGCAGACGCTCTCATTGGATAATAAGCAGCCAGCGCGCCGCAGACTTATATGACTCGGGAGTCAAGCTATGGAGAAAAGAGGATCTTGCAGATATCGAACAACAGCTTGCGCACTCCCGTACCACGGAGAAGTTTACTGTCCGCCGTATCGACGGTAGTGTCATTCACATAAAGAATCCGATGTTTGGGGTGCAGAAGCCAATCTGGTAGGGCCTACAGTCGTCCCAATTCCATTCAATGGAGTGGAGAGATCCCATCCTAACATGCAACTTCATCATCACCTTTCAGGAGGCCATATGTTAAATTTCAAGAGTTCTGGCATCTCGTCCAAACCACACCTGATGGTCCACCCGAGATGTACTCCTGCACCTACCTCGTAGAGTGGAAAAATGAGACGGTACCCAACTGTGAGGGACAGATCGAGAACGTGCGATCGTTGTTTGAAAAGTCTCGAAACCGATGGAACGACAGCGCGACTTGCGAGGCCTTCACGTCACAAATTCGGCAATCTCCTATGTGGGAATGGGAATGCGAAGAAGGTGATTAAGATCATGTGTTTTGGGTTAGGCGACTTGAACTACAAGCCGCCTGATTGGTGGAGGGAGCAGAACAGCTCCAAGTCAACGGTTGAACAAGAACCGGAAACAAGCGTGATAGAAACATCCTTGATACATCATGCGATTGCGTTAACAATGGCCGACGTAACACGTTCCCATGCCGAAACGAGGGACGTAAGGGTAAGGCTGCTTACTCAAGACCCTCTTTACTCGAATGAGACGAAGGATGTGTTACGGGAGATTGGATTTGAAGTTATAGGAGATCATGGGGCCGGAGGCTTTGCAGAGCTCGATGACGTGTGTATAGTTTTCTCCCCTTTTGTTAGCGCACCGGTCAAGCAGATCATTGCGGATCTCGCTCGGCCAGCCGTCATCATCTGCGTGAGCTCCAATACCGTGTTCAATAAATTCCAGTACGGAGTATATCTAATCCAGCGTCTGCTGCCAATGGTTCTCGCTAACCTAGATCTTCTCTAGCAAACCGTACAAAGATCCAGATTCTCCGAGGACAAAGCAGATGTGGAAAGAATATGAAAGCTGCGAATTTCCAGTTCGGCCCGAGATTGACCTGCTAGACGGCTCGCTGCATCAGTTGATAATACATGCTAGACTTGATGACCAGAAACCGTGATAAAACTTGTGCGCTTTGTTGTTATCAGGGAAAAGGCTCTCCGGTTCTCACTCGCGGGGGGTTGTCAGAGAATACAGTACGATTCCATCTGTCGGAGCGTAGCAAAGATGGCAGTGATTATCTTATTACGACTAACTATTTAATATATATGGATTTGTTATAAATATCGCAATAAGCTTAAGCTTCATTTCTAAATCAGCCTGTATATTTTTGAGCTTGGGCTTTTCACGAACGATAATAAAGTCATTGACGCTGGTTTTTGATCTTTCTGAGCGCAGAAGGGCATTATATATAGGTTGATATATAGTATAACTGGATGACATTGGCTCCACAAAGTGGAAGAATGATCGTGAACTTGATGGCTTCGATTTGTATAACTATACGTCCACACACATTTGAACTTGATGGCAAAGCACACCCTCCAACTATTCAAAACACGCACCGGTAACTCCAAATGGGTGATAGTAGCCACCAGCATCCAGAGAAGCGAAGTTCCGAGTTCTCCATACAATGATTAACTCCATGTCCCTCAGTATTCATAAACACGATCAAACAACTCACACGTCCATGGTTCCATTCCTCGGTCCCAGTACAGCTACTCTAGGAAAATGAAATGAAAAATATAAATAAATAAATATAATTAAAAAAAAAGATGGTGGGATCTATATATTCCAATCTACTGGCCCTTGCCAGCTTTTCCCTTCACCCGGACCGTGCAACGTCATTCGGGGGCTGTGAACGGGACAAATGGCAAGTGTGAGGTAACGTTATACGACGCTACGCAATGCAGGCTGACCAGACAGAGGAACATTCGGGACTCCCTAAAGGGTAGTGTTGGAGCTGGTTGCTCAAAGTTCCTGATGCTGTGGCTTTCCTGGTAGTACGTACAGTGGGACATTCGTCCACAGCACGACTGTGGCGGTGCAATAGGGGTATGTTAGGAATAGGGGTTTGAGAGGTAGGAACTATTTTTGGAGATTAAGGGTTAGGGGAGATTTCGAACTTGCGAAGTTGGGGGGATGAAGATGAAAAGCGGATGGAGTAGGGATCAGTGATTGAGAGCAGTCGAGCCCATACATGTCTATGACAAGGTCTGCGGAATATATCAATACGTAAATATTTTCCAAGAACTATTACGATTAATAAGCTTGAAATACGTGCATACATACATACAAATATTAGACGATTACAGTGTTAGAATTAGATATTGCCCTTGAACACGTAGCACACAGGAGACCCAGATCCGATTGTATGAATGTAGGTGTGCACATACGTATTAAATACAACATTTTTGAAAAGACCATTAAACGTGCAAATAGACGGAGAACAGCAACACCAAAAAACAAGAAAATTTAAAGAAAAAAAAAAGTTGTTCCATCATCCATAACATTTATTAAAACAAAATAAGACGCAAAGCTTCAACTGATGCTCTCATATGAAATACGAAACAAGAACTATCTTACTTCCGCTCCCTTTTTGCAACCAATACCAGCACATCGCAAAGCATGGCACAATGGTATATAAAACGAAGACATCAAAAGGAAACAAGAGAAAATTTAATCAAGAACAACATGCACCTCCCACCCCTCTCGCTCACTCACTCAAACCATCAACCCCTCCCCAAAACCTTCAAATCCCCCAAACCCCCCAAACCACACTTAAAACATCCCCCAAACCGCCATTACCAACACCAGTCCCGCGCCAACTCCAATCTTCGCTGCCGCGTTCTGCGACGGCACCGGAGTGGGGCTAGTAGTAGGGGTAGAAGACGACTGCGTGGTATTGCAAACGACTGAGCCTGGCATGTTGTTTACGCCGGCGGAGGCGCAGAGGCTTTGTGCGAACATGATTGTTTCTGTTGGGGGTGGGTTAGGATTGTGTCTAGTAGATATGGGTTGTGTATGTGGGTCTGTAGGTTTGTATGTATTGGGAGTGATAAAATGGGATAGATAGATGCAACATACTGTTTTGATCTTCCAATGAGCAGCTACTCATGACGCAGCAGCTCACGTTCGTGAGGAAGCCACCGGAGGTGCAGATACACTGGATATTCAGGCCGCAGACCGAGGGAATGCTGTCTGTCGCGCAACTTTTCTAGAGGGATATTTCATTAGTTCCCTATTTGTTTGGCCTTATAGTATCATTGTTGTGCTACGGATGGGTTGGGGTAGTGGTAGGTTGGATATAATTGTATAATATAGAGGGTATTAAGGAGACATACGGCGCATTCAGGAAGGCCATTCAGGCCCTGAGCGGCGACGAGGCCGAGAAGGGAGGGGAGGACGGCCATGGAGAGACGCATTGTGTAGAATTAGGGTTGGGAAAGATGGAGAAATGTTGATGAGAGAGAAAGATAGATAGAGTTGGACGATGAGGAAAGGGAGAGTGGAATAGCAAGGACCACGAATGGTTAGCTCCTGAGATATGAATAGTAAATGGGCGATGGCCTGGCTGATATTTGAGATTTTTGTTTCGTCACAAATTGAATCGAAGGCATTTGCACAACTGAAAAAGGTCTGGGGGAATCACTATTATTTATTATGATTAGTATGGAGTATTAGTATTAGTGTTAAACTAGTATTAGAAGTATTATTCAATAGATGTGCAGTCCAGTGGCTATGATGTATCTACCTGATCTGAAAGATCAGGGTTTCACTAGTTATCTATTAATAATGATAACTTTAAATATTATTAAACCATGTTTTACTCTGTATCTCCTACTTGCAATTTTTAGCGCAGTGACTAATGAATGATTTGACTAATAATCTCTCATACTAAAATAAATATAAAAAAAAAAAGATTATTGGCTTAAACATCTCCACTCATTCATGGAAACCATGTTTGACACTGCCAACGCGTGCCAATGTGATTTTATTGAATATTTACATTGATTCTCAGCTTCACTTACTCTGCAACCAGCTATAAACAAGTAATTCTTCCATAAAATTACCTGTGAATTTTGAAGATAATTTTCTCATTTTCAATTACTATTATATTTAAACTAATTAATTCCTTTCTTAGAGCCTGGAAAAACTATTAAAAAATGAAAAATAAAATAAAATAAAATAAAATTTGCAAGTAAACAGTTGAGAAAGTGATTACAGATATTTTCTCTACTGAAAATATTCAATTCACTTTCATGCAGTTTATACATTGATCTTCATTTCTTAATCTTTTGATGATCATTAATATAGATGATTTATATACATTATTCACATTATTCATATAATGTATTGATATAGAGCTGATATTTAAATCTATAAATTTATATATTAAAATTCAAATTGAATAGAGATTAACTAATATCTCTGATATTAACATATTTTTGATATAATTATATATATAGAAGTATATAAATCATCATTTGTTTGTTATTGCTAGCAGTCAAACTATGCTCAGAGCTCAATTCATTATTGCTTTATATGTCAATTAAGCACTTTGAACAGATTATACAGTTCATTTATATTTTAAATTTATATACAGTAGAGTCTTTCTTCTACAGCAAGCTAGAGCTATTAATGTTAAACTTTCATACAATATAAAAGAAGTTATATATACTAAATTTAAATCTTTTAATTAATAGATAATAATTTAATTCTTTGAGAGGTTAAAACATATAGTGAAAATGTTTTAACAAGCTTATTAGACAGAGGTATAAGATGTTTTCTCTAACAGAATATAGATATTTATAAACTTTTCACATATTAAGTCATCAGCTAAGTATTTTAAATATGTTCAAATACTCAAAGCTTATCAGAACTAAACCTCTTGTTATGAAAATAACAGAAAAACTATCATATCTTTCTGTAAAATCTTCATCTCATGCTAAATTATAGAGAGAATCAGTTAATAATAATGATATTACTAACTATATAATTTATATAAATAACTACTTTACATCAATAACTAGTTATATTTAATTATTTTTGATAATGTAACTATGATGTCTATGAAACTACTAAGTTAGATAGTTTTTTTACTCTTCTTCAGAAAATAAAAGTTCACAGTGCCTTTATCAAATTACTATATAATACTTTATACTTTATATTAAAGAAGCAAGTTCTCTGTCTTAGATGAAAAGATAATTATATGATATTAGCACTGTTTAAAATTTATTTACTAGATAGTTTTATTACTCATAAAATAATTTATAGAAGCTGGTCAGTAATTTTATATTGAATAATTAATCATGCAGTTATCAATTCTTATATTTTTTATAAAATGAAGACTTCTCATCTGCTAAGTCATGCTGCATTTCATGTGAAGCTTTATCTTCAACTCTTTAAGTTCTCATCTATACTACCACCTGAATAATTGAATTCCACTTTAAAACATAAGTGAATTTCTCTTTCAACTATGTGAACTTGTGTCTGATGTCAATATAAAAAACAAAAGAGTCAGTGGAATTGAAAACAACTTCCACAATCAAAGCATTGCTGTTCTACATGTCAAAAATATCCCCCTCTGTGTGAAATATCAATGTTATAATTTCAATCTAGGCGTAGATAAACAGATGTTCGACTGCCAACTAGGGAAACTATTTCAACGAAATACTAAGGTGATTTGAGAAACAGGGGCCTGGCGAAGCCTCTCCTTACATACCCCTTCGACTGGCGGTTCCTGTGCCGTTGCTACGCAGTTTTGGTGGGGTATTTGTTTACAGGGTAGTTGTTTGCGGGGGTGGTTGCTAGGCCGTTGCTATTACCCTTTTCGGACAATGCCAGTAGCCATACGTTGCCATAGTTGCAATAGCCAACGCCGTCATAGCGCCGTCACAGTCAATGCTGGGCAGAATTCCATTCAATTAAACTAAATTAGGGTTAGCTCAAAGAGATTCATAGATTACACCAATACAGCTCAGTACCGTGGATCTTGATGTAGAATCAATAAGATCGCTGTATTTAATACAGTAATTTACACACTAAAAAACAGCACCAAAAATTGCAAGTGGCCAGAACAAGGAGATAAACTAGCTTAACTTGTTAATTATGTATTCACCACATTCTAAGCCACTTAAGCACCCACGTGATATGAAACTCTATTCAGTAATTTCCTAAATGGAACTTGTTTGATTTTCACTTGCAACAGAATAACTAGTTACATTTATTAGCGTAGAGCTAACGCCCGGTTGATAACCTTTCCGTAACCAAAACAGTCTACGCCCGGATTATTTTTCTTCCGCCCTGAACCTGCATAAAACTCTTCGCCCAACCTTCTTCGTAGCTTTCAATCTCCTTTCCTCTCCTTCTAACAAATTCGTCTTTTTGTTCTATAAGGAAGTGTTAGGGCCATATTCAGTAGCACGCCCGTTACACTAACAGCATACAACGTTGAATCTTATGAGTATTGAATTAGATTAAATTAAGATGAAACTCCTGCTTAAAACCTTAATAAAAAGTATGGATATTTTCAATTAGGATTTTACTCTTATAAGACTGCAGATATTTTTTAACATAAACATAGAAGTGAAGAGACTATGACAGCTGTATGATAAAAAGCTTTCTCCTATTAAAAACATTTAACTTGATTTAGAAATTTCAAAGAAGCATCAATGAAGTTGAATATATTGTTCTTGAGTGAGGCACTTAAAGAAGCAACATGATTTGATGTCTGAATTAACTAGAATCACATTTAATTCAGATTAAAGTTAAGTTGACCAGTTGTTGACGCTCCACCCTTGCTGCACGTGATCTTGGGAGCCCCCTATATAGCTTAACTAGCCTCCCCTCCGGAACGGGAGGATCGACGAACGCCATATCCGTCATCAAGAATGGATCCATGTCATATGATGGTGGGGTTGGGCTTAAATGCCCCTCCAAAGCTTTTTCGCAGGCCTGACAAGAACTTGTTTTCTGCGAAGCTCTTCCCAGCTTCTGCGCGCCAGTTACGACCATATCCAGCCAAACAACCTCCTTAAACACGAATAGCAGACCCTCTACGCCACATTGTCAGAACGCGCCATATCTGTCTTCTGAGTGAAATGGAGACCGAGACGAAGAAAGACCTGAGCGTCAGTCCCTTGCCTCCGGACTGCGACGATGATCTGAAATATCTGAAAATGCATGTGGATAAAGCCGTGTCATGGCAAACTCTATCTACTTCTCTGAAGGAAAACATGGAACCTCTAAATCATTCGAGAGTTGAAACTATACTACGCGCAGTCAAGGCAAAAGTGAGTGTTATTCGTTGCTTCATGGGTAGTAGGAAACTGATGGGCATGGTAGCACTCAAAATTCAGAATTTTTAAAATAGTTGATCGCACCAGGTTTATTATCAATCGGGAACCTGTGCACATCATCCCTATATCTAGTGACCTTGTGATATCCAATCGTCCGGATAAAAATACAGCAATAACTGTTCCAGTGGGGAGTGGTGTATATGTTACTGAAACTATTTGCTATATCCACTCTTATGCTGACTTATTAACCATCTAAACTTCTTAAAAGGTGGTTGGAAAGAAGCGACGGCGGTGGATAGCCTGCAAAGCATGGAGAGAACAGGCTGCGATGTATGGGTTAGATATTCCATGTTTTAAAACTCTGCATTTAATTGTCTAGGTGATGTGACTAAAAAACTTGGGACTTTGAGATTCGCTTATGTAGTTATTACAATGGTTGTTGTTGCCTGTTCATCTAGCCTAGAAACCTAATAAGTGAAACTGCCATAGTTGGGGGGAGCCCTGGCAACAACTGACCGAAATTGGAACTCGTATTTGAAAGTGTCAGTGGCAGACTATCAAGCAACAAGGTCTTCCACTGTCCATCCGTCGAATAAACCACTGTGAGTGCGTAAGAGCGAATTAAATTGTTATATTCTATATAATAAATAAGAGGTTCTCTATGCGGTGAAGATATACGGCCAGTGTGGATGTATGAGCTAGGCCTAAATAGGGCTAGTGTGAAAGAGGAAAAGGCTTGAGTTCCCACCCCATGCAAGGTTGTATGAAAACGAGCAATGTAACATTGATAATACAGAATGAACGAAGGTAATATAATAAAATCTAATTTATTGTCTTTATTTAAGTGGTTTCAAAAGCTGATATTTATTTTAAGAGATAAAAGCAAATTAATATATATATATATATATATATTATAATTGTAATGGGCTAATACTCAGTTAATAATTTTTCATAATCAAAACAGTTCATATCTGACTCTGACTGAGATAAGTTTCTCATTATATAAAAGTGATAACAAGAAATCTAGCGCTGTTGAGCTTTTGCTCATGAGCAGATTGGTTTTATGAGAATGGCAAGTAAAGACATTCATACTTCTGGAATGCGCCCTTGTTTATCGAAGTAATTGAAAGAAAGAGAATTGAGTCAAAGATGAGTTCTAGAAGTATGAGAATCATCTTGACTGTTTCTCTGATGTATTGGAGTTACGGGTAGAGAATAACAAATGTACAAAAACGCATTTTCAAGGAGAAGAGTCCCGAATCAGTTTTTGAGCCTGTGATGGCAAGATTATTTAATTTAAAGCTGCTGGTTACTAGGATTTATTTCAGTGTAATGTTTTTTAATCTTGTTGTTGCGTGGCATCCTGTGTAAAAGGAAGGAGGAAAAATCCTAATCTGATGTTAAAAGACCGTATCCATGGCTATGCTATGACGCCTAAGTAACTCCCCACTGTCATTAAGAATAAAGCCAAAAAAATTTATAAAACGAGAGTAACAATAGTAAAATCCGCAGCGCCCCGCTGCGGATCAGGTCCTCAAGCCAAAAGTCCTCTCCGACAAGCTGAAGGTCACCCTGCAACCTACCGCCCCTGTTGACAATTCTCACTATCAGTATCCTCCGCAAAAGCGACCCTGGCGCTCCCATTTAGAGATACCTCCTTATCTGTAGGGATTTTATGGTTTGTTTGTTTTCTTGCTAGATGTTTCCTAGAACCTCCTGCCCCTTTTGCAAGACACCTCTTCCTGCTTCTATTCCTGACGATTCTCCACCAGCTAATAATAACCCCTTTTGCCCATTTCAGCTTTTCCCGCTCTTGAACAGCGGCCATACACTCCGTTGCAATTCCTTTAGCGAGGACGTGTTTCTGATGTTGTCGTTGTGCGTATATACGCCTCCAGGCAGACTGAATAATGACCGCAGCCCGTGCCTTTTTCGAGGCAGACAGAAGCCTGCAGCAAAGAAACGCGAGAGCTGCGAGAGTGAAATCTCGATCGAAAAAATGAGGTGATGTTGCGGAGAATGGTGATGAGGACATTGGAGCTACAAGTGAGGCTGTGGTTTTTGAATCTGATGTTAGCTCATGTCCTTTAACTTCGGGAACTTGCCAGGATGAGACCTATCCTTACTGAATTGGCTACTACAACCCAAAGATCGCAACCTCGAATCCAAACTTCCCAAGCCACTCAACGCTTTCTCATGTCCAACTATGTAACCCTCATATTCATCCACAATGCTCTCGAAAATCCGTCCGTCGGCAAAACTTGTCGTCAAGTTATCAAGTCGAATGCTCTTTAGATGGGCAAGATGAGAAGCCCATTTTTTGAGCAGGAATGAGTGCCGCTCGTATCCTGCATCGAAATCCTCTTCGGTCTCTTCATCATCACCTACACCTTCTTCAGTTTGACTATCATCCCGACTTTCTAGTTTCCTTTTCAATCGCCGGATTTCCTTTCTCACATCGTCCCAGTCAACCAATCCAGACAGGCCCCATTTTCCAACAAGGCCCCACAGCAGCGCTATGGTTTTTTCGCGGTATCCGTCAACGATATCCTCTGCACGGATGTCTTTGACAATGACACCAATACCTTGAACGCTTAGCAGAGCACTTAATGCTATTTGCACGTTGAACAGTTTCGTTGCTCTGCTAATGCATGGTATCTTTAGATGTTGCGAAAGTATCCATTCTTCCTCTCCTTGCAATAAGGAAAGCATTTCTCCCGTCGGCATTGTTATAGTGGCAGAATCAGTGCCCTCCTGTTGAGAGAGCAGGGTCGACGCAGAAGGATACAGAAGCAGTTCGACAAGCCTGGTAAGAAGAATGCCATCTCGAAGATCGACAGCAAGGTTGTTAATGTGGTAATCGTATTCTTGTAGAGGATTCTGTTTGTAGTCTACCTGGCAGTCGAGGTGATTCAGCGGCCGAGTGATGTCACCAACTGCTGGGAGCAGCATTGTTCCCAGTGCCTGAAGAACCGCTGCTGACGACTTATATTTTGACGATGGATTGAACAAACATCGAGGCAATGTGGTCTCTGAAATTTGCCTTGCTTTGTCTAGGAGCACTACCATCATAATGCTGCGCAAGAGAGTTCTGCGGTAAGACCACCCAGGTGTGCCAACGTCCTCCCCGTCCAGACCAGCAGAACCTGTTCCGGAATCCTCATTTCGTAGAATGAATGTTTCCAAAAATGATTCTAACGTACGACGAAATTGCCTTTCCTCACTTTGTGGAGGAGAGGCCGCGGAATTACTGGGTCTGGCAGATCTATTTGGGACGGGTATTTTCCGCCCTATCACAGTTTCTGCCGCGGCTCGAAGCGCGAAGAGATCATATGTTTCCATCCAAAGGTTCAAAAAAGAGCGCTTTCGTCCAATGTCCTCTTTTAAACTGTTTCCGCGAGCCAAAACGTCCTTGGGTATGCCTAGCGCACCATAGAGAAGAGACGCTTGTACACGCTTATACAGTAAGGAGAAGGATGTTTCTTGGTATATTTCCAAAAGCTCGTGTCTAAGGGTATCACTGTCATATAGGCCTGAGGTGCCTCGCGCGGAATCGAAGAGCCCATTCACGAGTTGCGTGATAGCTACCTCTTGATGTGCAAGCCAATTTTCCTCATACATAGCCGGATTGGAGATGTCTTCGCTGAGGAGGGGGTATTTCTCTTCAATTGTTAACGAAGGTATGTTGGGAACCAGAAGTTTCGCTGCCGGCTTTCTCGTCACCCGTGGTTTATGAATTGGACGAGAGGATGATACCTTTGGGCCTTGGGTCTGGCGAGTCTCTAACACTGTATTCTTTGGAGCCAGGACGTTTTCCTCGCGGGGCCGCAATTTAGGGTTTGGGACCACGTTTGCTTTATTTCCAAGTACCTTCCTGTTCACGGATAGAGGATTTCCCTTGGTTCCAGGCTTCGCTCTCGCTGCTGGCTTAACAGCAGATGGAGTTCTTTTAGTTGGTTCCGTGACAGGTACACTCTTCCGTTTTTCAACGAGTGGTACATCGAAAATAGGAAAATATGCACCTTCGGATTTCCCAGATTTGGTATCAGAGACAATCAATCCTCCTGGAGGTATATTCTCTTTCCCACCATTCTGACCTGGGATATCATGTTTTATGCTTGGTTCCTGGAGAGGCTTCTGTGACGGTTGAAGGGGTGCTCGCCTGGGGGCGATTGCGAATGACTTTCTTGGCGGCTGCTTTCGAGCAATTCTGGATTCCAAGCTGCCTAGTTCGGATTCTTTAATGGCGTTTTTATTTCCTTCGTGGACCTTTAAAGATTTGACCGGGCTGAAGATACCCATGAAGACAGAAGGAACAGTTGTGTTTTCAGAAGGAATGTAAATCGTCCCTCGCCTTGTTGACTTTTTCAGAGGGTCAGCAGCAACTGGAAGCCGCTGCTCTTTTGCCATTTCGCTGTGTTCATTTATAACGGGTGAATTGTGCGACTGAGGGGGATTTTGTGGAGGTGTAAATTCGTCAACTTTAGGAGATGCTGCGACGGCGAAACTCACTCCGGGTCGCTGGAATCTCTGCGCTGGCTGCGATAACATTGACGAGCCTTTGGTCGCAGGCCTGATCCTTGGATACCGACTTGATTCTACCCTCTTTTCCAACGCAGGCCCCAAATTCCCAAGCTCATCCGCGTGAATATCAAATGCTTTTGCTTTCCCCGCCTTCCTTGGCTTAACTCTCGTCAAAGGAGCACGAAAGTCCGTCGTAAAATCGATTGCAGCGGTGTCACCATCGTAAAGGCCAAATTCCTCGTCGAAATCGCTAAGATTCTTGCCGCTACCGGAGAACGGCGATTTGCTGCCTCTTCTCCATCCAGCGGGACACGGAGTCGCAGCTTCACTGTATCCTCTCGACATTGTGTAGGGGGCCGAAATGGTGATATCAAAATTTGAGTACTAGGGGTCTAGGTGCCTTTAGCAACGGATTGAGGCCAGTGGTTGCCAATGGTGCTTTACCTTATTAAGCCAAAATTCACCATATAAAACTTTTAGGGTAGTGATTTGGGACAACGAGCATCTTTTGAGAGGCTATGAGGGAGTGTACTGAATAGATATGAAACACGATGCTTTATATATGTTGATTTCTTCATAACGAATGTTTCTCTTAGCTCAAGCTTCAAAGTAGTGAACCTCTCTGCTGATGTCGTCACGATCCCCAATGTCTTTTAGGGGGATGATGACACACACCATTGTTTATTTACCACAACGTGATTTGTACGGTTGCCAGGGGCAACAGTACGAAAGTCGTGTCATGGCTTTGCCTCTTCGACTTTGGACAGAAAACCATGGATGATGTATCGGGAACTTCACCCCATGCGATTCCATGAAGGGGAATTTAGCAATTAAACCTAGATGTATGGCTGCTCCTACGTTGTGCAGCAATATCGCTTTTGAGAGATGTGCCAAAGTTCATCTGCTACGGTTTTTCACGGTTAGCAAGCCCAGGTGCCATTGGCAAACTTTATGTTTCTAGCAAATATGATTGCATTTTGCTCCGCGCTGGATACTTTTTCAAGATCAACTTGACTCTCTCGCTCTCTCTTTTCTCTTTCTCTTTCTATTCTCCTTTGGAAGCAAAATAAAAACAGTGAGGCGGACCCCGACATGGACCAACTGCCTGATCTTCCCTTGATCTGCATACAGCCTCTCTCGTCATCAACCAATATTTTGCATCCTGCGGAGAGACTCCGAGATGTCATCGTGTGTACCATTACTCTGTAACAGGAGTTGACGCGAACTCTATACAGCCAAGTTGTTACGCCATATATTAGTAGTGAGTGATGATGTCGCTATCTTGGGAATGAGAGTATAGCAGATATCAAGTCCCCATTGAGTTGAACCTGTGAAGGGCCTCAGCGCATAGAATAATTACTTACCGTACCTTGCAAGCAAGTGAGCATACAAGGAAAAGGCGATTGTTAGTCAATACCGTCGAGGAAATCACCTGCTAAACAGTTTTATCATTACATCTTTGACACCATCATCGAATACCCAAAATCATGAAACTTCTTCCAAAAGTTTAATGGAAACCATAGCCGTCGACAACCACCATCATCGTAAAGAAACCATTCTTGGACCCCATTCACCAATCCACACATGTGAAAACCCACCGACATACCACTCGCTACCGTGGCCCTTCCGTACTCCCGCAAAATCCACACTGTCACGGCGCCAGCTAGGTACATGCAAGTCATATAAAACAGCCCCAATGATCGATCGTAATATGTCCATTTCTGGCAGCTCACCAATGGATGGATGAATGTATTTAACTGAACACCTGCTCGTGGGGATGATTCTCGCTTTCCCCGCCTAAGCCGTATGCCACACGCCGTTCCGGGATAAATCGTGCAACCAATCAAGGGTGTAATTGGTTGGGGGCTGATGATATCCGGACCCCGTGAAAGAGATATACGTATATATCCAAAGCCATCTGAGTATCGGGTAGCACCCTCAACCGTATTTCAACTGTTGTCATTCTCCCTGATGATCCAAAAATGCTACTTTGTACCTAGGTATTGCGCTTCGCAGCGTTGTTCCCTCACATCTCCGTACTCTTTTCGGATTCACTTCATTGAAAACATGGAGGTAATAATCATCTCTCCAACAGATGCTGGCACGAATGGGGAAGCATAACATGAGTTGAAGAAATGTCAGAGCTGGAGGTAATCCAACATCCACAGAGAGCATTAAATATTTGATTTGATACTCTTCACTAAGCAATTCTTTCACTCAACTTAGTGGGAGGAAGTAAACACAAAAAGCGGCAACCCACGGCAGAATGAACATACAGCAGCCTAACCAGATCCCTACTAGCGTACTCACTGCACACAAAGTCATTCCACGCCCTAAAATAAAATTCCAGCATAAAAAAGCTCCCCTAGCCAAAATTCCTCTCCTTCTCGTCTCCCTTCTTCCCTCCAAGCGTCGTCCTCACCAAAGCTGCGTTTCTTTGCTACACACGTCAGATCCAACAGATCTGTCCCATCCCTCTCTTTTTGCCTTCTCTCTACTGGCCCCCAAAACCAGCAGAGAAAAAGACAAGAAAGGCGGGAACATGCAGATGAGAAATTCGGAGTACTCTTCAAAAGAACCCTTACCCAACCCACTCTCTTTCTCCGCTCCTTACCGGGCAAAAAACGAGTTAGTGAGTCGGTACTGCCCGTGAGGGCCTGGCGTGAATCTCACCACGTCTGCAATGAGGCATCAGAAACATCGGGGTGGTTTAGAAATTTTGGGTTGTCGCTGAGAGCGGGCTTAAAACCCCCTGTCCTTCGGCGCATCTTTAGATTTTTCAATCTTCCCCATGGGAGAGCCGTTGCGAAGATTGTGTGTACAACCGCCTCCTCCCCTTCAAATTCTCTCCTCGGAGGGGATGGGTTGGTGGGGATGGCGGTGTATGACACTTTAGTGCAATACGCAGCGTGCCAGGATAGCCGTTTCTTTTTCTTCTTAAGAGGGAGCGGTCTGGTATGAATTCGATTCCGATTACTCTGGTGGGGACGACGCTTCACTTTTTACTTTTTTAAAGGTTTGTGGTTATCGTATTTGTTTGTTTTATCTTGCCCCGTTGCGGGAACTGGTTGGAATCTTTGAACAAAGGATACTGCTAATTGTTGTGTTTTTATTGCATCTGCCGTGCGAGGATCGGACGTCCCTATTTTGTTCATTTCGTGCAACGTTATGTATTGCTTTCCTCTGACTTCTTGTTGGTCGTACATACTATATTGCAGGGATTTCCTATCAGCCGGACGGGCGGAGGGCTATTTATATCGTGGTTCAGCAACGCATTTCTCTGAGCGCAGTTTGCTCTGGCTGTATGAGGGAGTGCCTCCCATGGGCACCAGTAGATGTTAGTTGGCAATTGGGCTCAATTCGCTCCAGGGTTGACGTTGGAAATGGCCTTGACATGGATTCGCGAAAGACAACTAGACCTGATTTACAATCTCTTCACTGCACGAACAACTCGCATCACACTCCATGATTAGTAGACTTGTGCTTAGAACCAAATAAAATAAAATGTAATAAAATATAAATAAATAAAATAAATAAAAGAAGCATTAAAGTTACGTTGCTTGAATCATAATATATAACTCATAATAAACGAATCTTTTCATTATTTCGCTTTCCCCTACTTCCATTAAAAATAAAGTAACAGCAAGCGTGATGCAAAACATCTTGGAATCTCATAGCTTGCTAGTTTACAACAGACATGACGGGGCAATGGAAAACATGGATGATGGTCTTGAAAATGTGGAATTTTACTATTTTTTCTTATATTTAGTTCTTGTCTTAGGGCGCCATTTATTCCTCATCTCCAATCTATAAAACAAAATTAATTAGCAACCGTTTTATTAGTTGGAAGAATGCAAAATATATATAAAAATAAAAATAAAAAGTTTGGGGTAAAAGGGCTGCAGGGGAGACAGTGGGTAATAGATTGCAAAACAAACAACCCCTCCAGTATTTCAGATATACAGTACATACTTTTGGCGCAAGGAAGAATCTCAAATGGCCGCTACCCAACCCATACTCGACGAGCAATGGCACCTCCTGGGAGAGACAGAGACGAACAGTTGCCGATAAACCCGTGGCCTTGCAGAAATTGTTAAGGTATTTGAGAGAGAAGGTGAGTGAGACGGGTTCAGAGAGGGCGATGGAGACATTCTGGTCTGGCTTGTCGACGTTGGTGTGTTGGCGGAGGGTGATGGCACCGTTACCGATTTCGCCCTGGCAGGAAAATTTGACGCCGTCCTTGTTGGCTTCGATCATTACTGTTGAGTGGGGAGGGGGGTGGTTAGATGAGGGGTACTGTCCGAATTTTCTTTTATCCTTCGTATCTCTGTAGTTGACAAATTAATGACAACAATAGAGAGCCATGAAACATACCAGACTCCGACAAATTCCCCAAATCAGTACAAATCCTCCTGAATTCCGCTGACGGCATATCCACCGTAGCCGCATACTCCGTGTCTGGGATCGCCAGGTGCTCCTGGTCAATATCCATAAGTTTGATATCATACTCGCTAAGCCGGTCCGTCTCCGCGCTCTCGAAGACCAGGTTAATGACGTCAGGTGAGTCCTCAGCTTTTAGCGTCAGGATATCCTCATTCTGTGCCGCACGTAGCACTTTTGTGAGCGAGACCAGGTTGATGCCTAGCGCAACGTTGCGGTCACAGCGGTAAGGGGAGAACCCTTCTGCTTTCAGCATCATGGAGACGAGAGCAACGTGCGAATTGTCCATAGCTTGCAAGGCGATGCCGGAGTCATTGCAGTCGAAGTTGCAGTCTTGGACTAGATCTTTGATGGCATCGACGACCTGGATGTGATAATTTTTGTTTTTAGTTAGTTTTGCCCGGGTTGAGCACGTTTTGAACGAACAAGGTGCATGTATGAGGACTGGTGTGGGATTGCTTTTACCTTCTTCAACAAGCTGGCCTGCTCTAGCCGTGCTTCCAACACTGTTGTAAAATTCCAAGTCAGTGAACTGGCCAGTTTCATACCATTGGAATCGTATCACGTACTCTTGTCAATTGAGGTGGGTAAATGTTAAACGAAAGAACAAGAGGGACTGTCGCAGGTGATATGGTGGAGTGTAAGTATTGGGCACCAGTTCTGCCAGGCTATTCCGTTAGTCTGGCATATAGTTAGGGGATTATTCTGTGAGAGTTTACGGTTGTTGAGATGTGCGTAAACGAGAGATTGAGAGTGTCAGTAGGTATTGAGTATAGGGTATTGGGTATTGAGTATAACGTTTGTGGGAGAAAGCGGTGCATGTTGAAATGAGCTGGAGTTGGCGGTCGAAGATTTGCGGGGCCCGACGCGTTGCAGACACGAATCGCGTCGGGTCAAAGGTAATCTTGCCCCATTCGCGCTAGCTTTCGTACCTACCAGCACACAAGCAACACTCTCATAGACACAAAGAGAAGCAGTCTGAACAAGCCCCCTCGAAATAATTGATTTGCTAATTGACACAAATTATTCCTATTGACTAACATATCTATGGTGCCGTACAGTATTCAAACATAAAAGACAAAATATGAAGATTTGAAAATTACACATTATGCAATATTCAACAGCAGCCCATTCAAACCCTAATAGAAAAAAAATAAATGAACAACTAAGAAAAAAGGGGACCTCATTAAAGAATGATAGAGAAGTCATTAATAAGAAAATTTTTATCAAATTATAACGTGAACTCAACTCGTCAAATGACTTCCGTCCGCCGCTGAACAGGGTATCAAATGCGTAGCTGGGACTCCAGGAAGGAGGTGTGTGGATAATCAACCAGAAAATGAAAACGCTCAAAACGCTGATTTAACGGCAATGGCAGAGTGGACGGGCAAAACCAGGCCCGTCGGTTGAAAAGAGCAAAGCAAGAAATGAAAAGTGAAAAGGAGAGAAGAAAAGGGATGAAAAGGAAAAAAAAAAAAAAGAAGAAACGAGGCAGTAGACCATGCTTAGATGCTCGTAATCCGCTGCGATGCCCTCCCACGCGGACGCAGTTTGATAACAGTCTCTAACTCCCTCAGCATATGCGTATTAGCATCCGATTTCTCCCGCACCATAGCCTGCCTCGCCCGCTCCTCCTTCATTCGCGCAATCCTCTCCTCCCGCGACATAGAATTCCGCTTGAGGGGTAGAGCAATGGCTTCAAAAACCTCATCGTCGTCCATGTTGTTATCCGGACTTTGGAGGGACTGCTGCTGCTGTTGTTGTTGATCTTCACCCGTCAACGCCCGGAGAGCCTCTGGAGGCCCGCCGTCAACTGCAGTCACGCCGCCGAGACTGAATGTCGGCGACGCGGGAGATTTGAGGGAACTCGTGGGTCGCGAGAGGCGACCTGAGTTTTCAAGGGTGGCTAGTAGGGAGGATTTTCCAGCTTCCCATTCCTGGAGGATGCCGCGGAGGTCTGTGCCAATGGATTCGTAGAGGGTCGTTAGGGTAGTGCCGAAGTCTGTGTCGTCCGTCGCTCGTTCGAGGCTTGCGTCAGATTCCTCGCGGATTAGTTGCATTTTGGCGTGGAGGCCGCGGATTCCTTGGGAGAGGGAGTTAAGGCGTCGGAGTTGCGCGCGGTGATGGTCTTTATTTGGGGCTAGTTTGGCTTGTGGGTATGGTGGGATCATATTATCTAGGCTGCAAGTTAGTATGGATGTATATCTAGCCAGCATATTTTGTTTCATAAAGTCTCTACTTACGGTCTTGCTCGTTGAGGATGGCGACCAGTCTTTCCACGCAAACTGTATCTGCAGCAACGAGACGCTGCATCTCCTCAATGGCGGTACTCCAATTTGTAATATCGGCTTCCCCACCCTCAGCTGGGAGTGCGAGCAAGCAGCATAAAGTAGCTTTTCTAACGGAATAAACTTTGGAAAACAAATTTCGAAGGGTTCGTAAGGAGGTCCTATCTTCCATCGCACTGTCCGCCAACAATGCATCGGTTTCCTCAAGTTCCTCCGGGGAGAAATCATAAATATCATAATATTTTTCCAGATTGGCGGTATCTGCAAGTAGTCGTAGATGTCGTTTCGTCTTCAAGTATCGCTCCAGCATTTCCGAAAGACACTCTGAGAGAATGCGCCGGAGTCTCAAACAACGCCTTGTTTGCGTTTGCTCTTCTAGGCGCGTTATCGGTGGCATGGGAGTGCTTCTATATCGAATATTAGCATATGTAATGAACCACACATTTTGCAAAACGGCTTTGAGGAATTGGTAACAAACAATCTATATCCTCTGGAAACCAACTCCACCTCCTGTATCAAGATAACCGATGCTGAAGCGGCAGAATCAAAGGACTGCGCGTTTGCAACAAGCACGGACGCAACACCCACTGCCTGGCGACGAAGATATTTCAACCACTGGCGCTTTGCAAACGCATAAAACGATATTGCTATTGCTAGCAGAAGAACCACTAGGACACATATCCTCCAGACATTCCAATCCGATCCCTGCCGCGATCGAGCCCAGTGGAGTATCCAGACCACGGAAAAGGATGCACCGGCTGTGAATACGGCCCCCGGCAATCCAAAATTTGCTGCTCGTGTGCTTGACTGGTCCTCATTACTGCGAGTATTTGATAGCAATCTCGTTATGGCACTGTATGACGGTGCGCACTGTTCGTTGAGGAGCTGTGAGGCAACGATGATGTATCCAAATTGTTCGAGGAACCGTTCATTCTCACTCTTCCCTATTGTTGTCCTAACAACTGCCTTGTCGATGCAAAAAGTAAAACCAGTCAGCAACGGGAAATCCACATCGTGAGAACGGCAGAGGCGTCCCATACCTTGCAGACGTCAGAGATTCTAGCCAGAGTTTGATGTTTCGCCAATGGCTTCAATTGTCGCGGTACCGGCAGTCTATTTCGTATTCGATCTTGGAACGTGGGGGGCCCTCGAGGTGCGAAATTAGCTGTCGATGAATCCAGCGGGGGTTGCGATGGGCTGAGGTCCTCTTGTGGGGCCCAGTCTTCCTGGCCTTCACCTTCGCCTGTTAGAGTTGCAGAGTCAGTCGAAAAGTGCGACAACAGATTCATGGCGAGAAAGATAATTAACTCAACGCATACCCTCCAGATAGTTAGCTAAAGGCGAGTCTTGATAAATCAGCGCCTCCATGACAGAAGGACATGGTTCTTGAAGGCTTTTATGAGCCAGTACAGAGCCGAGTCAACTGATCCTTTTGGAATGATGTGTGAATTGAGACTGGGGAAGCGCTGAGCAGGGGACGAAAGCGTTCCCAAGGACGAAATGGAGGGTAGTACAGTGTGACTAAAGGGATAAATCGACCAGTGGTTCAGAGACGTATGTGCCACGAGATCGTACCGGGTTGTTTAGTCCTTTGTTTCGTTTTTTTGGTGTGATGAAACGACACCTAATCGTGGAATATTACTACTCTAGTTAGTGAGTAGGGAGGTGAACAGCCGAAGCGCCGAAACGAGGTTGATGCCACAGAGGCTGACAGCGGCTGAAAGCGCCCGTTGATGCGGAGGCTAAAGACACCTGACCGCGCTAAAGGAGGGCGCTCTTAGGGCCATGTTGTCCAGGGGGGAAGCCGAACCGGTTTAGTTGCCAGTTAATTCAATTGTTGCTTCTCAGTCCTACCTACGCCCTCTCACTCATCTCAAGACAGGACAGATAGACGTACAGCTTAATCAATCTTGGTTTAGTTACCCACTTCATCTCCCAGATCTGCAGATAAGCAGCAGGGCACTAAACTCCTCTGCCGCTGCCGCATTGTGCCTGAACCTTGGAACCTCTGGAGAAGCAGCCCACTGCCAGCTAGCATATTCCCACCCAGGATAACTCTAACTTCCCCCGTTCACCAATCCGTTCTCTTTGACAAGTTGTCCACCTGTCACTATCTCTCCATCTTTGCGATGATGTATTGTGCGTATGTACAGAACAGCTGCCCGGTGCAGAAATGACCCATGAGTCTATCTGCAGGATTTCAATCTTTTCTCCCGTATCAGCAATAATATTGACGCATCCTTAGGCTCAAGTCTGATGTGGATCGGTTTTTCCCCTCCTTTGAACCTTGGAACGCCGTATGTTTACACAACCCGATCTAGCGGCAAATATGACTTGTTACCGCGTTCTTGGTGCTTACAGATGCTTTTTTCCTTTCTTTCTAGAACATCTTGATGCGCTGATAAGGGCTCACACATGGTCTCTCCTATTCGCGATGCGGAGATTCGCTGCGGTGACTGGTTTTCACAGGGCACCTGGGAGCAGGATAGAGACTTCTCCAGCGATGTCTATATCAATAAATATGTTTGTTTATACCTAATAGACATACTATACTTCTAGATATGGTTACATCTATTCATTCCTTTACACTCGTATTATCTCTCAAGACGGAAACATGAGCATGACTGCAGCATTCTGTTCTCAGATGGATCATTTTTATGGAAAGAATTCTGCTCCGAACATGTATACTAAGATATTTCATCCTCTTTTCTCTTGTGAGCAGCTCCCGGAAAGGGCTGTATCTTGGTCTATCTGACCCTCGTGGGTGTATTGAATCTTTCAAATTCAAACCCTTACACGATGAAAGGTGAAACACCCAAAATTCATGACAGAACAAACTTCCCAATGGATATCTTGATGAAACTGACTTGAATTTGTGTGTACCTTTTCATTTTCATTCATTTGCATAAGCATACAAGCTACCTATTCAGCCACGTCTCGCAGATTTTTCATGTAGGTAATCTTAACTCTCAATCTATGCCCGTGCACTACACCAACATGCGTAACCCGAACACAGTCACTTTTTTCTCTCTTATTATGGTGCTGCTGCTCAGATTTGAAGGAATTGTAATACAACATATCAATGACTCTATCATGTTCCTGTTCACGGCTTACCAGGTATATATGTTCTTCACCTCTTAATCTCTCTGGCCATTGATGCATTGTTCCAACTTTTTTTTTTTTTTTTTTTTTAATTCGGGTTGTCTCGCGCCTGTCGCCAGATGGCAGAGAAAATGAAGAGTGAGTCAAAAGAAGCAGTGAAATTGCTATTCTGCTTCTTGAAAGCTCTTCTCCGGTCGTCAACTGATAACTTGTTGTGAGATGTGAGATGTGTTCTCGAGTTCTCTTTCAAAAGGCCATCATTACTGACAACTTGGTGCTGGGCGGTCCGTGGAGCAGCAAAACAGTGGCAGCATCGGAAGCATCCAGCCACTCACTTCAAAGTTATGTAGCAAGCGAATCTTTTTCAGAGTTTGCAAGGCAAAAGGCAGTTCGTCAAATAAAGTTAGAAGAGGAATTGAGAGCTCCTCAGAGCTAGCTTCTCATTCTTACAACAAATCTGAGCTTGTCCGAACTGTACATTCGCCCCGAATGGCATTCGCAAATGGTGTGCTTCCCTGGAGCCCAGCCATCATTAGCTAGTTTCCCTCCACTCCATATATTTGCCTTTCCGTATCATACGAAATGTGGCGATATCTTGCCGAAGGGGGAGTTAATCGTAAACTGCCAGCTTAAACCCTCGCTTTTCAATCCATCACCGAGTCATTCGAACCTGCGCTCACAAGCGAAATCGCCACACAGAGAACTGCATTTCTCTCAAATGCTGGTTCAGACGGGGGGTGTGGATAATTACGGAAATTCACAAGCATATTGCACGCATTTTCGGTAAGCCTAACGAAATAGCCGTTCATATCGAGCAAGGCGCGCCCGAGCAGGATTGCCATCGTTTGTTGATGGTGGAGGATAAGGAATCGGTTAATGACCCTGGAATAATAGCAGCAACTGGGGTATTTTACATCCCATGTTCCAGCAAGGCTTGCACTTGCATGCTTCTAGTTTTGATTTGTATTTAACTGGGGGGAATTGAAGTTGGACATAACTAACTGCATGCAATGGTCAAGATATATAACTACTACGTTTTGATGCAGCATTTTCATTGTCCAGATCACTCATCCCGTCAGTCCCTTACCTGATGTCGTCTAGTCATCCCAGCATCAATCCCGAAGAATAACTACACAGCCTCGCTCTCACCAGCCACACGGCAAGGAGAGAATACTTGACTAATCCGCTTTAGACCCTGCAAATAATAAAACATATGGTGGAGAAGAATTAAGAGGGAGCAAGTGTTAAAACCGAGCCACCAGCCACCAAGAAGCGGAAACTCTGGGATCTTGTTTCTGGCCTCTGGCTATCTTTTCCCCCGGGTAAATCCCCTCAACAAATCCAAGGGTTTAACCCGCAGAATGGATCGGTCGGGATGGAAGGTTTAGCACTAGCCACGGACCAGCCCAAGCGCAGGTCTCAGACCGAACCATGGCTCAAGTTTTGCTGTTGTGCCTGACAACATGGATTGGGAGAGTCAAAATAAACACTACTTACTTGTTCCTACGAATGCAACAACCGAGTTAGACACGGAAAAGAGATTCTTGGTATTTGTTATGTCGTTTCTTTGTCCAACCAAGGGCGCCCTGTGTGCTGGAGCGGGTCGATGCATCGATGCTATTCTGCAGATGCAGGGGATAATATGAAAATAACCACAGGGCGAGAGAGCTGCGATTCCTCTTTGGGTTTTGTGGTGTCGAGTTAATGTTCACATGCATTTTGTTAGTTTTTCGAAATAGAGTAATTAGTGATCTGGGTGGAACTTTTGACTTTTAAGGTCCGGGAGAGAAAGGTTTTTTCTCCGGTTGAAATTTCTGCTGTGATAAATGAAAATCAGGCGTAGTGATAGATATATTCTGGACTTGAGGATGAATGCCCCGATGAATATGCTGGGTAAAAAATAAATAAAATAAAATAACATAAAATAGGTCTTAATGGCTATCACCATTGGACTGTTGCATGTTCGGTAAGCTTCGTTAGCAGAAACTCCGGATTTCTTGATCAAGACCGTTCTGTCAGCCTTGTGCGTTGGGCAGCGAAGCCGGGATATTTTTCAGATTCAGACCCACAGCCCACTTGAAAACAAGAATGTATACTCCATGTATGTCCTTACTGTATGTACTTACTTGGATACCTGAGGACCAACAGGTTGAAGAACGGTTCGGGACATACGGAGTGCATAAATAATATTAGTTCCATCCAAGCCGTTTGCCCAGCTAAGTCGTTAATCGTTAATTGGTGACATCCAGTGTTTTGCCATTGATGCGCAAAATGAGAGAGAAATCCAGAGTCCCCATCCCAGGCCATTCCTTAACTAAACTTACAACTAAGAATTAGTTATAGTTAACTACTAGTAGCTATTAGTTAAACTTATTGGTAGACTGGCTGCATCCGCATCAGGTCAGCTTATAACTATTATTCTCGATCCCACCACCCACCGTCTCATCCCCGGTTCGCTTGGTTACAGTATCCCCTGGCCACCATTACACACTGTGTTTCAGGCCTCCCCTTCGCCAGGGATTTTTGCTCCAGCCGAGATCAAAACTTAATCCAACCTAACATACGACAGTGCAAGATAACTTTTTTCTCCCCCCCTCCACACTTTCATCATCACTACTATTTACTTCCTCTACCTAGGCTCCACGGACTGCTGCTCTTCCAACCCTCTCTTTCATCACTTGCTCGCCGCGGTTGCTGGGAGGGCGTTGGTCCACTGGTCTCACGGGGCTTGTCAACAACAGGCTCGTGACCTAGATTTAATTCCTATACCAACAACGCCAATCCCAATCCCATTCTATCCTTCTATTATTATCACCTCCTGCCCTCCTGGTCGAACACCTCATCCATCCTCATCAATTTCCATCCATAATATCCTTCGCAACAGGATTGCCAGCACCCGCAGCACCCGCGGATCTGAGGCTGACCCATCGTCCATCCAACCACCCTCCGCTGCACTGATCTCACCAATCTTGACAGAAATACCCTCCTGAAAGGCGCCGTGCTCCGTCCAGGAGCGAAGCCGCCAAGATACCTTACCACCCATCTCGCGCCTCGGTCCTGGGAGGGCGGGCTTTCGACTCCTCCATCCACCAATCCTCCCCCGGCTTCCGTGCCAAAGACGGCTATACAAACGTCTTCCCTCAAGAGCCCAGAATGTATCGGCCAAACTCACGCTGGACGTGGTCGTTCGTTATCATAACTTGCATCCAAGCTGCTATTATTCTTGGATTTGAGTCGTGAGTGCCGTTGTTCATTCCCCTGCAATCACGTATCTGCTTCTATATATATATATATATATATATTATATGTGCACATCCTAACTCAAAATTGCCCAAAAATGCCCTACCAGATACGTCTTTGCCCGTTTTCCAGAGCGAACTCAGAGGCAACTACGGCACTGCGGCCACATCACGAACAATTCCAACATTCCTAACCCTTTACATCTTCGGCTTCGTATACGAACTCATCCTAACCTACGATGCCCTACGGTTGAAAAACACCATTCAAGTCATCGGGATATGTCTCTGCAATGTCGGCCTGCTGATATACGGTGCTGTGCAAACGGACCAAATCCGTGAAGCCATCCTCGCACTAAACAGGGGACACAACATCGACAAGAAAATCTGGCCCGACGTGAAACCGTTTCTCGTTGCTATACCCATTATCATCGGCATTGGGTCCGTGCTCATGATGTTCGTTGCTTGGAAATTATATGATGAATTCGCCTGGACTATATATAAACATATTAGCGCTGATTTGCGGATGAAGCGTCGGTATCTAACATACCAGGTATTTGAAAAACGCTCTTCTTTGTGTCCTCTTTATACACACTTTATATATCTCTTAAAACTGTTGCACAGTTGTCAGTTTTGCTAATTGGCTGATATTCCCAGATCTATATCGCCCTCCTGAAATTTGATTTCTTCTTTTTCCTCGGCTTCACAGTTCAATTCGTGGTCATCGTCACCGACAAAAAGGCCACAGAATATATCCTCACAATCATCGCCATCCCCTTCACAATCTTAATCCTCCTAAGCGCAGCCTGGTCCACCCGCCGCGAAAATACCCCCGGAATGATTATCACCATTGTAAGCCGCACCCCAACCAGTCATCCTCCCCTTAAAGCAGCTCATCCTATCCCCATAATCAAAATCCATTTTTCTTTACCAACTCAACTAACACCCATTCCCCCCAGCTCCTCTATCACGGCGGCCTAGCCTACTTCCTCTTCAAGCTTGTGCGCATGTACACCCCTCCACGTATGGACGCCTACAAAGCCGCCCGCACATCCCTCACCTTCTTCACCGTCATCACCATCGCTCTGATCATCATGACCATCATCAACGCCTGTATCTGCACGAACAACTTCAACAAGGGCTTGAAACCGCACATTTCTAGCCGCAAGGTTAATAACGATGATGAGAAGCCGAATACGACGGAGTTGTCGACGAATATGAAGGTTGGTGAGCTGTTGCCAGTGAGGATGACGATTGATTAGAGAAAAGGGGTTGAGGGGATTTATTTTTGTTTTTTTCTTTCCTTTTCCTTCGGTGTGTATGTTGTGTTTTATTCTTTTTGGCCATGTTTCTTTTTCCGTCTATATGCGCTTCCCCGCTTTTGGTGTTTGATTTATTTTTGTATTCTGCGCGGATTGGACGGTGTGCAGGAAGGGAAAGAAAACTTGGAATCACCACCCTGCTATGAAAAAATGGATTACAAAAATCAAAGAGAGAAAGAGGATTGAATTCTCCTCAAACACATATACGCACTACATAATAATTATTCCCCACCCAACCCCACCCAACCCCATTTTCTCCACTCTCCTCCCTTAACTTCAGACCCACGTTGTGCTCGTTTTGCTAGAATATACAGAGAAACAAATACCCAGACGCAACTCATTGACATTTAAATAATCAACCAACCACCTGGAGTGGGTCTATCTTCAGATTTTTTTGTTATTTTATTTTATTTTATTTTATTTTTGTTTCTGATTTGGATTTGTGATATATATCTCCCCCAGGTTGCCTATGATTTTTGAACTCAAGCTTTTTCTTTTGCTGGTTTTTGATTTTCTGCTGAATGGGATAATGTGTCCGTCCTGTTCTAGTTAATGTACTCCTACCATGTCATAGCAATATTATGCTAATGACAGCAGCTTGATGCTAAGCAGTTTTCATGATAGGTTTTCTGTTATTGATTCTTTTTCTCCTGGTTCTTTTGGCTGGGAATGATTTTGGAACTCCATACATACAGCAAGCACCCAATCAACTCCTCTTTGGTCTTTATTTTATTTTTATTTTTTTTTGATGCCTCAAGTTAGCTGGTATCTATATTGATAGTGGACGTTATCGATTGCTAGTGCTTTTTTGATTGTCAGAGAAAACTTGGATGATATATGAATTCCTTCTACTCGATTTTTATTTATTAGATATCTCCTCCATTAAGAACACAAAATAACGTTCATGTTTAGGACATATTTGATTTTATATGGCACAAAGTTCTTCTCTTCTGAGGGTTATTTGTTCAATCGACTTGTTCAGTCGAACTCAATGAAAAAGAAGAACAGGTCATGATATTAATACTGATTGAGGAAAATGAAATCCATTTCCAAAATTCATACAACACCCAACTTCGCGATCAAAGTCATGTTATGATATCATATCATATCATATCATAACTGAAAGCTAAAATTCAAGTCACGCAAATGAGAAATGATTCCATCCCCATCCAACGCCTCATATCCTCCAAGTACCACACTGCCCACAATACCTCTCTCGAGAGCCACCATTCCCATTCCCATCTCCATTCCCACCCTCATCTTCACATCCTCAACCCATTTCCTCAAACCCACCAAACCACGCCCCACCCCTCACCTCCCTAACCCCTCCTTTCCAACAAAACTTCAAAAGGCGGCGGTTTCGCCGTGAAATACGTCCGATAGCCCGGCTCCTGCTCATCGAAGAGGGGAAATCGGGAAGCACCCGTTCCATTTGCAGAGGCGTTTATATGCGTTTGTTCCACTGAGTGCAAGCGGATGGTAAAAGTCCGGAAAAGCAGAGCGGTCACTAGGCGCATCTCCACGAAGGCTAGCGCTTTGCCGGCGCAGGAGTGGGCGCCGATTAGGAAGGGGTGGAAGGCTTCTTTGTGCAGGATTAGGCTGGAGTCCGCGGTGGAGGTTGGGGACGTGGAAGTGGAGGTGGAATTGGGGGCGAGCCAGCGTTCGGGGATGAAGGAGTTTGGGTGTTTGAAATTGCGAGGGTCTAGATTGTGTGTAAGGTATAATTAGATCCATGTGTTTTGTACGTACAGCACTAAAAATGGGAATGGGGTGATATGAGCTCTTAAGGTGAGTTGTTTGATAACCATTTTGGTCCTAATAACAGAATCTTACCCCGATGCAGTGTATATGTAGGCGTGGACACGAGCGTGTCGCCGGGAATCCATTTGCCTGCGATCCATGCACCTTCGGGCGGCGTCATGCGTTGCATGTTGCCGGGGACCGCGGGATATAAACGGAGAGCTTCGTTGATGCAGCCGTCCATGAACGGGGAGCTGTTGGCAGACAAATTTTGATATGAGAGATCCTCAGCATCTGTCCGGATGCCGTCCAGTTCCTGCTGGAGCAGTGATTGCTTCTCCGGGTAGATTGCTAGGAGATAGATGAGGGCGGAGAGGGATGAAGAAGTCGTTTCGCTACCGGCGACAATGGCGAGTTCGGATTCGAAGAAAAGGTCCCTGGGGATGGAGAAGTCGTCGAAGATGAGCGGGGGGGAGGAGAAGGGCGAGTCTGGGGAGTCATCGTTTAGGAGGTGAGTGAAAAGGTCATGGAGGGTTGTTGTTTGCTGGTTATTGGTCGTGATGGTTAACAATGGTTACACACTGCATTTATGTGTATTTCCGTTATGTGTAAAGAGGATGTATAGAGTAGTTACCTTCATCCGCTCTCTGAGCCGTCCCACGCTATGCTTTAAACGTTTCGCCCACAACCCGCGAATGATGGGAAGAGTCCGGAAAAGAATGTACGTCCACGGGAGGCTTAGGAGGATTCCAAGCAGGGGTTTAGCTTCGGCTAATGTTATAAGAATATCTCCTGGTTTTCCGCTTTTTACCATGTTAAACAAGTTGCTAAATGCAACATCGCCAATGACGTCGAAGGCGAAGAAGTCCATCCACTGGGTTATCTCGATAGGCTTGCCATTCCGTGTTCTCGCAGACAGCTGGGAAATGAGTTCTGTGCAGTAATCCACTATCCGTGGCTCGTACGTGGACAGAGCTGGAGATAATTATGTACTCTGGTTAATATGTATGTGACTGGTTAAAGTATGAGAGTGGCTAACAGGGAGAGGTTGAAGATGATGGCTTGTTCACCTTTCATACCGAGTCCACGGTCCCATAATCTCCTCCGCCTTGCATGAGCTGTATTGTCGCGGATCATTTGCAGAGATCGGGAAGGATAATTGATATCGTAGAATGGTCCCTTGATACACACAGTCCCTGGGCCGTGAATATCACGAATGGCATCGACATGGCTGATTGAGATTTCTCGTGGGCCTGGTGATACATAAGTAGTGAGTCTTATGCAACTTGGTCTCCTTACATCAACTAGCACTACTCCGTAAAAGTGTGTTGAAAATGTGTAACTAACGAATGCGGACAAAATCTCCATGCTTCTTGTGAAGTTTGTTTATTTCTATGGGCAGCTTGTATCCAGGAAGAGAGACTTTAACGGTCCACCACGCGCTCAATTTCGCACCCAACGGACCCGGGAATGCCTTGAGAGGATGAAAGAAAACACGATAGAGGCTGATGCTCCCAAAAAGCCCGGTCATATAGCTTATCCAGAAGGCCGACACCAATAACAGCGGATCGCGGACGGACAGCTTCGCCAGTGCAAGGACCACAATAGGGCTGAGGAGGCCTATGGCATAGGCATAGGTTGCCGCAAGAGTTGGAACATGCCGCTCCCATTCACCCTGTTTGAAGAGCTGCAAATGAGATACAACTCCAAGAATGATGCTTGTGGTGCACAAGAGTGGCAACATCTTGTTTTCTTTCTCTCCTTGCTTTTGCGACTTCCTGTTGAAGGGAGGGAATAATTTTTGGCCACACGCATTCGAGTCTATCTACCATAAGTTGAAGAGGGCAGCAGCAGAGCTAAGACCGAAAAGCGATCCAGACAATATTCCAACAGTTTTAAAAAACTGGCGACTGCCACATCTGCTGCTGTCATTAAAATCGAGTGAGGTAAAAATGGGGTGAAGATAACACAGATGAACGAGCCATCGAACTCATAAACCCTAGAGTCAACTGAACCGGTTGGTTTCAGCTAGTAATAAATGTGCCTTCGCAAGTTTCATCGATTAGAGATGGGGTCGTTTTCAGAATGAGCTTAGTATTAACTTTCATGTCGTATTGCTCCGCGATAATTCGGCGGAGGCCATGTCAGCAGCCTCCAGAATAGTTAAATTTTATTAACCCCAGAATATGCGTCACCGTGAACCGTGCTCGCATCCTATATTCTGACGTCCCCGGGCCGTCTTCTCGGCTTTTGTGGTATCTTTTACGCACAGATTTCAGATGCAACCGCTGATTTAGCAATATCTAGCAGTAGGTAGTAATAATAATATGTCCATGTTCTGGGTCTCATGTCATTTCATAGCTGACAGCAAGGATATCATTGACCAGCACACTTGGCTCAGTCTTCCAAGTCCCGAAGGATTGAAAGTGAACTCCGTGTAAAACTTTGTTCACCTGCACTTCAAGGCGTTCTAGAGTGATTATACCGGTTTGATTTTCGGTGATATCATTCTTCAGAGTGCTGTGGGGTGATGATGCACAGGTTGCTAGCAATCCTTGCCGACAGGTGGTTGAGGAACCTTAAAAATGTCCGTGTCCCCCGAGAGAGGTTGCGTTCTGCTGACGTTCCTAACCATCCCTCATCCCGGGTTATTCTGATTATAAGAACTAGAATAGACATTTCTTCCCACACTTTAATATTATTTAATAATAGAAGTTCATCTGACTCGATTTTGCAAAAAAGTTGATATGGACAGATACGAGTTGAGTCATGTGATACTATTTGTTGGTTCACCCGAAAGGTTACCACTGCTCATCGTCTGTGGGATATATTTGCAGTTATCCAACGTTTTAACGACTTGAAGTTCACATCAACTGATGCTTCATATACAGCAGTGAGATGGTTCCTCCACTGTACGAGCAATAGGAATTTTAACTTTGCGTTGGAACTTCCGAACCCCTGTCTGTTCATTGAGCGCCCAATGTTCAGAGATAGCACATCGGGATATTCATTTGATACAGAAACCTATTCAACCAAGGGCAAATACTTCCGCAGATTCCTGGGCCCATAATTTTTGTTCTATACACTGACATCATTCCTCCCTCCTAGATGATAATGTCACAGGTATTGAATCTGTCATTGCATCTCGCGTCTCTCTTGGATCCGCTGTTGGTAATGCTCGCCATCAACAATCTCGAGCTCTTCTTGTTTGTCTTGTAAGGCAGATTTGCATGTTGTCATGCCAATATTGTGAATGATGGCGATATCAATGTCGTTATGGTTGATATAAGAGGCATTGACTGAGCGAACCATGGGGCGATACGAGCTGGCCTTAGAAATTCGAGTCCCGACAGATCCCCTGTCCCTGGCTGGTGAAAAGCGCCAAGGGACAGGCAATAAAAGAGAGTTGATGAGAGATTCTGTAGCTGCTACAGCATCTGAGGACGACCAATAGGTGCAGCTAGAGCATTTGGTAATATCCTGAAGCTCAAAAAGCCCGTTTTACAGAAAGTGGGGTTTGGCCTAAAGCCAGCGCTCTGTTGAAGATGCGCTTGAAGAGCTTCGCTGGACTTCGAATTCAGACTGCATTCCTCCATGCTGAAATCGTCGAGGAGCTCTCAAATCATCCAGGATTTGGAATGATTCTTCTGGTGTGCAGCGTATGCACTCTGCTTTCCTGTTCGCTCTCATCAAGAACGAATTTTAGCAAATTCCGGATAAGGCATTGGGTGACACGGTATGATAGCCACTCGTTTACTCCTAAAGATATATGGAATAAACTCAGCAGTTCATCCACTCCAGCCTATGTCATCCCCTTATTCCTAACTAGCAATCAACATGGCATATTATGTGTTAGATGACGTTAAACTGGATAGCAAAACTGCACCAAATCTGAACCTGACAAGAGATCGATGGATTGTGGGCGGCTATTGGTGGTGTCATGATTGGAAACGTTCCTCCAAGAACCACAGAAATGAACGGGAGCATAGCCTCAGTGGTGTTGCTTTGCCGGGTAAGGAATTGGAGAGAGCTGCCATACTGGACCTGGAGGACTGTACCCAATAAAATACGCAAAACGTGAATTTTCATGGCGAGAAAATCGAAGGTTTTAGGCTTCTAGTACTGGAATATGCCGTGAGTGCCTAACCCACCCTAGCCTTCGCAATATTTGTGACT